AAATCCTGAACTGATACCTCCTTGAACTGAAACAGGATTTTCATTTTTTTCCAGAAGACCTGCTGAAAGATGAGTAATACCCGGAAGTTGTGGTATCCGTTTTAGAAACTTCGAAAATCGGTTGTTTTCGTGTTGTTCTTAGTCTCCTCGGTAACGTCTGGCATCCACACGTAGTAAAATACTTTAATTCGCACTAAAACAGGAGTTTGCAGCCGCTGCTTACACACACATACACAGCGTCCCGTGTTCACAGCATGTCCACGAGAAAAGTCTGCGTCCGTCTAGTTAATTATTTCCACGTGTTATGTGCCATTCAGTATGACAAATGATCGCGCTGGCTAAAGTTCTCCGAAAGAGCATTATATTTAACAATAACCTCCTCCGCAAATTTAGTCTGGTAGACGTCTAAGAATAAAGCCTTTCCGAGAGGTAATCGTAAAGGTCGATCGTAATTATTGACTAAATTATTTCAGACAACTTCTAAGAGATGGCGACGTCAAACATTCATACGGATATTCATAAAGTGAAAAGTAGTTTGCCGTCGTCTAAATGGAAGGTTCGCCTGTGGTAGCCTGAAGGACGAGAATCAAAATGTTCTCACCACTGACCGCGACTGTGTTTTCCGAAGCAGTGTGACGACGGCCTTCAAAAACTACTCCGTAACTTGTCCTCCTGTACGTAGAGAGCCAATATCCAAGTGTTCCTTGCCCTATAATCCAGTATCAGTGTTCATATCTTTAGTATTCTTACCCACTTGTCCCACAAGGCAACAGAGCTGTATCGGAATGTTATATCACTGAACAAACTCCCATAATCTTGTAATATCTTAGATATGCTACTACCGATGTACAGTGTACGTAAGGAGTATATACAATACGCAACAGTAGCACTAACTCGGCCAGCTGACGACAAAATGAAAATAATACGTAGTTACTGCACACGATATTTGCTCTACAAGATTTACTCTGATATTTGTTCAGAAAGATTTACTCTTTCAGTTTTTCAAATAACAAAGCCCTTCCCATTCCCCCCTCCATTTGTTACTGCAAGTGTACTCAACATTTCTTTTTAAAATCATTTTGTCCGTTCCGCTACAGGCGATAATTAATAAGCTCAAGGAAGAATTGACGTGGTGCCACATTTTGAACCCATTTTGACGAGGACATTGAACACAAAGCGACAATTACGCTTTATTTTATTTGCTCTCTGGTATCTCGGACGACTGTCAAATAAAATGTCACTGTTGACTAACGGAATCGTTAAGAGTCCAACATGAAAAGAAATCCACTTACATAAGTTGCTACTTCAAACTGGCAAACACTGGCGGTATTTCGCTGTGTGCATTGGGGTAAACTTTTTCCTTTTTCTATCATTTTTTATGACGCACAATGCTGCACACTGCTATTTGAATTGCGTAAATTCTTTACATGTCACGGACCGCTGTTATAAGAGTCTTGTTTAAACAATTGGATAGGGTGCTTAAAAACGGTTGTTTCTACAGCAATATCTTCGTCATGTGCTCCAAATAAATTACTTTAATAAACCAAAAGAAGTGAGAGAGGCAGTGAATGACAGGCAGTGATCCCACTCCTTCAAACTATGAACAAATATAAAGTATTTTCGGTAATACTGAAATGTGAAATCAGAAATAAATATGATAACTGTTATTAATCTCAATTACAAGTTAGATTTTTATTATATTTATATATATTTACATACATAACAAAAGATAAGACAATGAACTGCTATATTTATCATATTTGCCTAAATAGAGAATATATAGAGAAAAAGATCATCCTAAAAATATCTAAAAGTCACTAAAAACTACAAAATATATATATCTTGCACACATCAAAAGTAAAAAAAGGAAAAAAACGCTTTCTCTTGGTACAACAAAAGATATATAAATCATAATAATTAGTTCTGTATTAAAAGTTTAAGGCATATATATATATTTTTTTTCAAGTAAATGCAAAGTAAAAGAAAAAACAGTAACAGTGTAAGTTTTCAGTAAAAACATATATTAAACTATAACAATGACATTACAGCATATTTTCTATATATGTAGGCATTGTAAGCTGTTTTTGGTGTCCTGATTTTTTTCTATTTATAAAATTTATTTCATAAACTATTTTTAATTTTTTAGGGAGGGGGCATATTTTCCTATCTTTTAACTAAGTCAGACGGCACAATAATTGTACTTTCCCATCCATACAAATGCAGACTACTTGTCAAGATTCTACCTTTGAATCTTTCTTACATTTTGCCTTTAAAATTTGCAAGATATCAAAAATTATGTAAGTTAAGTGACATTGTATTATCCCATATAAATGTAAGTTTCATTAAATATCATTATATCAAATAAGACAAAATAAAGTGCGGTATGTTTTAGCATATATGGAGAGGATATTGATTTCTATTGCACCTCCAGAGCATGTAGTATATTTCCACTCTAAATCCACTGAGTGGCATTTCTCTTCTGATAATTCTCATTTCTGCTCTGTGGTCTTGAGCTCCCAAAGGTATCACCGGTCACAACACCACCACCACCACCACCCCCAGTGGCCAGTTTTGACCCTGCTGACCCCACAGGACGACTAGTTCCATCCGGCTTCATCCTCCCTGCCACACCCTGTCCTAAATGTTGACCAGCGATGGCCGTTGCCTCAGGCCGCACCCTGGGGACCCGACCAGATGCCCCGCCCATCTGTCCATACCTGTTGAAGAGATTGGCCACAGCTGTCCCCTTGTGTCCACATAGTTCAGCGTTACTCTCCCCTTCGGAGGTCAGCCTGGCTGCAGGGGCAGGTTCCGGAGGGAGGTTCCCGTAAGAGCCCATTAAGAGATTAACACTCCCTCCCTTGTGACTTTGAGCAATTTCTGCAGCTTCCCCCTTCACAGCACGGGGGTGAATTGTCCTCTTTTGTGCAGGAGGTTTGTATTCACTTCCGCTGCCTATGAAATCCCCCATACTTCCTCTGCTTCTGTCCCTCATCTCCTGAGCTAGAGGCGAAGGGCAGGCTTTAGGAGCGGGGCGAGGTGACTCAAAATGTTTGTTCTCTTGCTGGTTAAACCATTTCCCTATGGATCCATGATTTCTATCAGCATATTCCTGTGCCTCAGGTTTTACCCTGGAATTGGGCGGGGTGAGGTGTACTCCCTGGCAGTCTCACTGTACTGTGGGTGTCCAGGAATGGTGCTCTTGGAAAACTTTGTTGTCATGGTTTAAATCCTGAGATGGGTGCACGTCAGCACTGACCAGGGACACTTCAATAGATATCAGGCCAAATGGTTATTTCTTCCGTCTCAGAATTTAGGCCCATCAGGAGTGAATTCCCCCTGAAATCAAATAAATATGAACAAAGTTGTCATGAACACTTTTAATATTTGGAATAGCACCAAAGACATGCGAATAAAGTTCTCACAAATTACTAAGACAACAGGAATGTGATTTCAGTCAACCTGTAAATGTTTTGGTAGGATATTGTTACATATGCAACCACAGCCCTTATTTGTGCACATAACACAAACCTAATCAGCAAAATATCGTATCACCTGCAGGTGATTAAAAATTAATACAAGACTGTTAATTAAGAAAGCAGTCCAGTTTGCTCTGCTGATGCAAGTATTCTTATATGAAACCTTGGATTTAGTTTCCCCCAAGATGTGGTGGTATTTATCGAGATTGATCGACCTACAAAACAGACATCGGATTGCACAGGGTATTCAACCATGAAAAACGAGATTATCGAGATAAGAATCTTCAACAAAAATGTGAATTGCCAAACTTGTGGCTGATTTTGGGTTCATTTAACATTTGTAACCCCATCACTCCTTTACAGTTAAGTCTTTTAATACAAATGGCCATTAATTGAGCAGTGTATAGCGTGTACTTACAGAATCAACACAGTAATTTCGAAAATCTGCCAGGCTTGAATTGAACCACCGGAAGTCTACATTTGTTACCAGATGGCGCTTTCAAGACAGACCTCTACCTGTACGCAATGAGCTAGCTGTTCCGAAACTTTTCTATTTTGTACACATCTATCGCAATAACGTTACGTTTTTCAGCTGTTAGAACAGAACTGTCAAGAAATAAACTTGAGATTGATATTCAAATTTAATGTCTTTTAAGATGTTCTTTATGAAAGGCATCATGTTGACTTACAGGTGTGCAGGTGAATGAAATAGGCCTAAATAAACAAAGCTTTAAAAAATGATGAGAAGGTAAGATTTTAATAACTGAAAAAAAAAAAAAATCCAAAAGGGTTTATATGCAAAGCATTACAAAATAATTCCATGTCTCCAATGGCAGTTTGGAGTTGATTTTACCCGAACTGGAGATTGACTAGCCCTATTTTTGTACCATTCACCTTATCTCTGATATTTACATAAAAGAATCAGATCTTATGCACACCGCCTTTAAATAATAAACTTTAAATTTGCGTGGCGTCAGGTGAAAATAATAATGCTACGTCTCAAATTTTGGGGTTTTTAAATGCTGGCAGTTGAAGTCAATCATGATTCCCCCGGAAAGGGAAAAAGAACAAGGCTGATATACTAATAATGTAATATACAGTTCTATCAATCCTGTTGCCAAATAGTAACTACATAAGGAGATATACAGGTAAAGAAAATCATCAGCTTCCTAACGATAGCAATACTTCCAAAAGTGTAAAAAAATGTAGAAAAACTATATTTCACAACCGACAGAATGCCTTCCTTTTACAATTTTGCCGGATAGTTCGAGTAGTTGGGGTGGAAGATTCTCCTTTCAAATGTACAGCGGTTACAAATGTTCCATTCTTCCAACTATACATGCCTGTACTACCCAAACATAGACAAAACGTTTACTTGGGGTAAAATAATCTAACTTTTTGAAATCGTGAGCTGACCAAAAACTAAAATAAGTATGTAATTGTATTGTTCGGTTTTTTTTCTCTTGGGATACAGCGGGAAAGAAAAACCAACATTTTGAAATTGTTCAAAAGGATGTATATCCTGTCTTTATTTAACAATTCGCTCCTCATTTTTGTATCACAGTAGGCACAGTACAATTGAACACATATTTAAAAATATATAATCGTAATATGACTAAATGAGCACCAAAAATGCTAACGAAAACTGTTTTTTAAATAATGAATGCGTGTGCGTGTATGTGTGTGGAAGAGAGAGAGAGAGAGAGAGGTGGGGTGGATCGGAGTTGAATCGACTTTTTGTCCCCTCACCTTCTAAGAATATCAAAATTTAACAAAATCTATATTTTCGCATTGAATTTTTCTTCAATGTATAAATCAAAATCCTCTTTCCCAAAGGCTAACTTATGTGATTGCACATGTTTCGCTAATTTTCTTGTTCATCGTATAGTTATTTTACGCCAAGGTCTATTGTGGAAAGTGTTGTGGAGATATAGAAATTCTAAGTCTAAAATTTGTATATTGATATACATACCCATATCTAAAATTTGTATATAAATATCTTTAATGATAATATATTTATGTATTATGTATATATAATGATAAGATAAACTTATCGACTGGTACAATGTATTAATAAAATCGGAAAGTCAGTTTTGCAGTGATTAACAACGGGGAGGAGATTGTATTTTCTTCTGTTTAGCCAATGCACTATATGCAGCATATATATATTCGTGTAAAGCTCAATGGTTTAGCCAAACCATACAGAAGCAATATTCCATGGCAGCCAGCATTTCCATTTATACGGAAACGTAAATCGCCATGTAAACGGATAGCGAACCTTGATGTAATCCATATATTTCGCCGGAACTGCGGCAGATAAACCTGAAAGACATAAATAACAATATATTTTACTGAATCATCTAAATGAGATAAAGTTAGCTTGAAAATAAGGGTGCCACAATGTGTCGATTCGACACGAATTTTCATTTAGCTATAGCCCAGAGTAAAAGTAATATACATAAAAAGATTGATCCCATTACCCATTTCCAAAACATTATTAACCCACTTCTATTGGCGCATCTGGGATTTTGCAAGTTGGGGGAGGGCGGGGGTTAAAAATTACCAGAAAAAGTAAATGGAGGTGAATAACAAAGAGAATATTATTTATTACAATGGATAAAGCATGGGTGGAAATTTTCCTGGTTTGCACTCGGGTTGCTCGTTATAATCTTTGACGGCGGGAGAGAAGGGACCTGTGGATGCACAAGCAGCTTTGGGGGTCCAGGTGCCCCTGCCCCCCCCCCCCCCCAACCCCCGTTATGGAGCCGCCATTGACCATTCTTTCCTTAAAGAGAAAAGGCACTAGTCTCCACACAAGTGGGTTGTGCGTGTGCTTATCGCAGCTCAGTTTGTCTGGACTAGGTGGCAGACAGCGAATGCTCCGTTCATGTACTGTCTCAGGGCAGTAGAGAACAGCGAGTGTTTTCAGAGGTAATTTCACCATTTTAAATGACAAAAAAATGATTTGAACAGATATGTGACCATAAATGCCTGAAGAATCTTTTCTGGTATCACTGAATGGGTCGCCCGTGTCATGAAATTTTGGCAAATTAAAGCTCCCTGTTTTCCAAAGAGTTGCATGCTGTTTCTCGCCACCTGGGCTTATTTGCGCGTATCTCTTCATGATGTCACGTGTCACCCACTTATACTATTGCAATTGAACCATTCAAATATTCTAGTGATCCCGTCAATCGATGGCTAGATATACCTTTTTAATGAATATTGATCTACATCCGAATCCTCAATCTGGAAGGACCTACCTGAGAATTTAAGCCGCGCCAACGGCAAAATGTCTGAAACATTATGCTCAAAGGTTGCAGTCAGATATTTGAGCTTTCCAATGTTCGTTTGCTCGATACTTTCTGGGTACCACTCCGACAGGACCTCCCGTTTAGCCCCACCTGCACTGGTGATGGTTTTGAGTTTGTACCTTACCATGTCAACCTGAAAGAAGGAGCTTGATTAAATCTAGAATCAATTTTTTCTCTGACAAAAAAAAAAAAGTAAGGCCAAATTTATTTGATTCAACTGCCGTAAAATCTGTTCAGTTAAGCTGATTGGCAAAATTAAATTAAATTAACCAGGGGCGGATTTAGGCCGTCTTCTGGGTCTTCCGGAAGACGGTCAGATTTTTAAGTTTACATTGACGGGTATCTAATATTTTCTGTCGGAAGACGGTCAAAAATTGAGGACCAATTAACAAAGATAATTTGGAAGACTGTCAGAAAATATCTCTGGATCCGCCCTTGTTAACATTTTTCTTTTCATTTCTCACAATTTAGTCACTTGCTGGGGGTGCGGTTAGGGTTCGGAAATCAGGGTTTAGATATCAGTAATAAGCGGGAGCTAGCTATTTTCTACCAAAAGGAAGCTGGGTGTTGACCTCATTTATTAAATTATTTTTCGCTAGACACAGTAAAAATGTACACAGAATTAGCCAGAGAAATAATATATGAGAATAACTTGACACAGGGAAGACTCTAGCCGAGTCCCAAATATTTTTTTCATGGTCCACACACCATTCTGTACCCCCCCCCCCCCAGTAAATGACTGCATAACGAATTAATTACGTCTTTGAGGTTTTATCTTTAAAAATTTGGAATTTTTAGTCGAGCCTCGTTTCAATTACTGAGAGTAGGCCTATATGACGCGATATTAGACAGAAAGTCGACAAGGTCCTATGGTAACTATGGCTCTGTTCTCACAACTTTTAGATCGATCTATCACCGCGGGGAGTCTCACTAGATTACTGTCAGATAATCCCCCTTAAGTGTCCGTCCCCGCCTACTACAAGCTTTAAGGGGTAATTAACTTTCGTGTCCGCCCGGCTGAAAGCTATTTAGCGTGAACCCCCAGGGAGTTAGGTCGATCCAATGTAGGTCGATCTAATCTATGAGAATGGGGTGTATGTCAAGAAACGCGTGATGTTGTGTCACATCCTGGTTGGCTACAGATATGAGAGGGTGATTTACCTAGATTATAACCTAGTGTGGAGATAAACAAAAAAGTGAAAAAATAACAAGTTACAGGCGACCGCAATATTCGTCCCTGGAGATAGCTAAGACTATAGGAATAGTAGACTTGGTAGAGGGTAGACAGTATCCGCGTCCCAATTTTTTTCCTAAAACACACACCATTTTAGTCCCCCCCCCCCACGCAGCATATGGAATTAATCTAGTCTCTGAGGTTTTATCTTTAAAAAAATTAGGAATTTTTCGTCTAGCCTCGTTTCAATTACTGTGAGTATATGACGCGATGTCAAGAAACGCGTGATGTTGTGTCACGTCCTGTCAGAGATGGCAACAGATACAAGGGGTGAACTATAATACATAGATTGACCTTGGGTGGAAATACTATGTTTTGCAGAAAAGTGACATTAACGTACTACTAAGTAGTACATTGGCCTTAAAAAAACTGTATATGAAACAAAAAGGGGGAAAAGTAACATTTAAGTAACATGCACTGTTTACAGGCGACAGAACTATTCGTCCCTGGAGAAAGCTATAGAACTATAGATTTGGTGCCCTTTTGTGACACCATAGTTAAGTGAGAAAAAGAATCATTGTGGTTCAGTCTACAAGCGACCCGAAACGCTTTTCTTAAAGTAGCATAATAATTTAAAGCTGCAGTAAACAACCACCGACCTGCATTATACGCTAGATTTCTCTCCTTTGTTACTGTTGTATTCAAAGAGGGTTGTTGAAATATTTATCCACTGACATGGAGAAATGCCTGTATTTGCATGCATTTAGAATCAGTGAGTGTTTTGGGCTAATAAACATCCGAACATGAAACAATATAAATGTCTGAGGATACCTATTACTCGCTGATTCGGAATTTTTCTAATTGGGGGTGGGGGTGGGGCGGCAAATATAAAATAGTGGACTAGGACTATGGCGTTTATGGATGCTTAATTTGTCGTCTTGAGCTCATAAAACTGTTTGTTTCTTATCCATGGGTGCAGGAGGGGGGGGAGGGGGAGGGGTAATACTGGTGCCTCCGAAGCTACATGTACGAATAGAACCGGTACCCACTGTACCCCTTTCCCGTCACTGGACTGTCATTACTAAGGGATAATAACTCTTCGTATGAGATCTATATTTCACAATAAAAACATTGTGAACAACTCATGGAAATATAATATATTCTGTTCTACAAGAAAAACGGCAGTTATAGCTATTATTCTGATATCTGAGCTTGTCTTTAGACCACGTGACCTCCATTGATGGCTATACTCTGTTATAATCTCTTAAGAGATTATAACAAAAAAAATTTTTTTTAGAAAAAAACCAGGGACTAACTTTGAATGTAAAAATGGATTCATTAACCATTGGTAAGTTCGGAAAAATTGTTGTTTACTCCAGGAAAATTCATTTTTTGGCCAAAACGAAGAGTTAATATATTATCCCTTTAACTTCCCTTAACTTGATATGATCATAACTGCCACCAACCTTACAATTCTCGTATGTCACCGACAACATATTGCCTGACATACGCCGTGCTTTCAAGAGTCTTGCAAAGCTATACGCTGCTGTCTTCTCTTTTTTCTTGTCATTATGCACGAGGCGCGCTATGTCGATGTCTCCATCGAACGGTAAAATGTCACCTCTTCTCACGGCACCGATTAGCGTCCCGTGGTCCAGCCAGTACGTCTCATTCAGGCCCTCCAGAACTTGGATAACACCAGTCACAATGTGCCGCATGCACGCCATTTGCGTTTGATTAAGAAAGCACGGGTCGCCGTAGTACCCGCTAGTTTTGGGTAGTACGAGGAAGTGTGCTGCTAATATGAGTGCTATACCGAGGCACAAGCACGACCTTCGACAGCACTGCGCCAGTCTGTTTTTGCGGCATGCCACACAGTGTACGGTTCCATTGACGGTGTCAGAGATCCAGCTACACGGCATATTTTCTGCCGCTTGCCACTTTCGGCTATATTATATATAAAAGTGTCATCTACATATGAATATGTATAACAACTGCCCTGTATGACGAGCATACGCACGACTGAGCGCATTTATATTTCCCAGTGGATATATACGTAATCTAGACACCTGTAGTAGCAACCAGCTATTTGTGGGAGGCCATTCATTACTGAGTCAGCGCTCACCGTATTGCCATGTTGTTCTCTATTCCACGATACGAAGCGTGACTTCATAACGTCCTCACAATCCTGTTCACTTGAATCCTCGTCATGGAGATATATGGACACCGTGCATAACTTACGTAGAAAACCAGTTAAGTAATTTATAACTCATCCATCTTGTGTCCTGTAGCAAAGGGCGCTGTCAAAAGACACACACGTTCCTCAAGGGACCATCCCATAAATCGTGTTATGTCGATAAAGCAAAATATGGATAGCGCATCGGTAAAGCTAGCTTGCTCAGTATACCTTTTCATGTGTTAGCTTTACAGTGCTGATGTGGGTTATATATGAAATCAAGATCGAGCTGGCAATACCGAAATCTAGAACCTAGGGTAACTATCCCCCAAATCACACTGGGAAAAACTAAATCGGTACCGTAACAGTGTATGTATTTATTGATAATCTTGCCATGTTACTATCTCACGAAAATGCTAATAGGTAATTTCAACGCGACACAGACAGGTGTAGGTTTAAATATATTAAATTTAAAGGGATTATAATAACTGTTCGTTTTGGCCAAAAAAAATGAATTTTCCTGGAGTAAGCAACAATTTCCCAATACTTACCAATACTTGGGTAATGAATCCATTTTTACATTAAAAGTTAGTCTCTGTTTTTTTCTAAAGTTTGTTTTTTTTTTTGTTATAATCTCTTAAGACAAGCTCAGATATCAGAATAATAGCTATAACTGCCGTTTTTGTGGTAAAATAGAATATATTATATTTATATGAGTTGTTCACAATGTTTTTTTTTTGTGTGTGGGAAATATAGATCTCATACGAAGAGTTATTATCCCTTTAATCATTGCGTGACATCGAGGATTGTATCCTGTCAGAAGTTACCTTCCACCTAGTGATTTTCACTACATATTCACAGATATGCCTCAGGCTAACTCCAAGCACTTTTTCTCCACTGACCAGCAAGAAATATGGTATGGAACTGCTATCACAAAGCTGGCCTCGGATATAGAGTAGTCCAAAGTTGCTTAAAAATTAAAAAAAAAAAAAAAAAAAAAAAAAAAAAAAAAAAAAAAACGAGAATTTGTACATAAATTTTACTTCGATGGGACATTTGATTATTGAGCATATGGTACATAATGCATAGCCTTCTTACGCATATTTGCTTTCACTGCATTGCAGAAAATAAGAAAATAATAGCATATGAAATAGTATAATAAAAACGTTAACACAAGTCAACATGACAATATAAAATGCATCAAAAAGATATTAACTTAAGAAACATCCAAAACCCTCATAACTGAGACTAAGTTGATCATTTATCTTTGGCACAGTTGTGACTTACTCTTGAACCAAGGCGGAAATAGGTCTACTTTTTCTAGAGATAAATGACTTTACGCATCCACTGCGACAGCTATTTTTTTTCGTACTACATGTAGTAGAACTAACACCGTTAATATACATAACACTGAGTATTGATACTACACATAGTACACATAATGTATACGCTGTATATTGCTACAAATAATATAATATACAAAATTGAAGAAAGATTACATAAAAACAATACAATAAGAAACCCTATGTAAAAGTATACACTGACTAAAAATCATCAGAAAAATCCCCCAAAAAATTACTACAATATGAATTTCATTCGTTATCACAGCATCATGACAGTTGGACTTGAAACTTAACGTTTCTGATTCAGAAAGTTATCGCTCTTGGTCAGGACACCCCTGCTGCGAGCCACTGACCGAGGAGGTGGAGCTGGCGGGGGACGTGGCGCTTTCAGTGATTGGATCGGCGGTAGACGCGCTGGAAGACTCTTTGAGGTATTATGCGAACCAAAAGTACCCAATCTCCAATCTGTATCCGGTTGCCGAAACGCAATTTGCGTGTTAAGAGAAATCTGTGATTTTAAAGCCGTCCCTGTACTTGGAACCTGTATTTGACGCCGAATATGATTAGTCGGACGTTCGAAAGTTGTGCACTGTTTTCCCGTCACCGACAGATTTAAAAGTGTTTCCCTTTCATCAATGTACCCGTTTTGGTTTAGTCTCAGCTCGATCCCCCGTTTGTAGTCCTCTTGCTTTTTCTTAACTTTCTTTATTTCTTCCTTCTTTTCTTCTTCCCGTTTTTGCTTCACTAGCCATCTTCTGTAGTATCTCTGGTTTCTGTCATCCTATTAATAATAATAATAATAATAATAATATTCCTGTTTACTAGACCATCAATCGCATAAAAGGTAACTAAATTTATGTATTACCTATTTTGTTATGTGAATGACTGCCTGTAGTAAATCAAAGATTTAAAAAAATCAAAATTTGGAAAAAAAATCATAGATATTGTTATCAAACATAACACACGTACTAAACGAGAAACACGTCGCAAAACTAACGTCAGACCTTTAAATAAAGCACATATCTAATATTCTTAGTGAACTTCATTCGTAAAAGTAACTGTAAATTTAACAATAAATAGCTAGAAAGGTTTGTACTACCTACTGTAGGTGACATTGCAAAATCGGTGAAATATCCAGGATTTTTTCTGAGGTTCTAACGTGCATGGTGTGATTTTCACATCTAATATAAACCTTTATTTGGAATATGTTTTTTTTACCTTTTTAACCTGAAGATCTGGCAGTTTGTTGGAAGGTGGGGCGGAGTCCACAGTGTTGTCTGGAAGAGACACGAGAGTATTCTGGTGCGGTAGTGGAGACAGTTGACTTCCGGTCTGTGAAAGCCGTCTTCTCTGTAACAGAGGCGGGCTGGGCTGAGGGGACCGTAAGGGATGTTCTCCGGCCATGTTTTCGTTTTCGCCTTTACTCTTGGCTAAATTTCCACTGCCCTTCTTCTCCATCTCAGTGATCCGATCTTCGTATTTTCTTCCCTTGCCTAAAATAGCCAATTTAAACTTTCAAAGAAGAACTATAAAAATATGGCACCTGCATTTAAACATGTCAAGCAGTCGAGCGCCTTAAAAATCTATCAAACAGGGTTTATAGTTTACCACAGAAAGCATTAACCTTTAGTTTCTCCAGTTTTATTTGGAAGACTATCCGATTCGTTAAAAATAAGAATTATAAAAAAATGGCATCTTCATGTAATCATGCCAGGCAGTCGCTTACATGTCTTGAATATTCCATTATAGGGTCACTCATCATGGCTACAGATGTATCTTAAATAAGGTAGGCCTATTAAATATATGGCACACGCAGTTTTCGTGGAATGATACTTACCGTCAGTTTCTCCAGTTTTGTTTGGAAGACTATCCGATTCCTGAATCTTTAATTCTACAGCATTAATTCTTTCCTCTCCAGCTGCCTTTTTGTGCTTTCTTTCCAGAATGTTTTCTCCCGTTTCCTGTGGCATATTTGTCACTGGTTTATGATCGCTCATGTGTCCATCATTTGACGTGGTGTTATGGTTTTCATCATATAACCTAACATCAAGGTCACCGGAAACACGTGTTTCACCACCGCCATTATTGCACAGGTCATCGTCTGCCGAGCATTTTTTACTGCCCTTCCCACCATTGCACAATATTGTATTGTCCTCCATCTTATCAGTTGACTGGTCACCAACTGAAATATTACTGGGTATTTTGTTGTTTTGACTAGTTTGTTTCTTTGGTATATCTTTAGGTTTTGTATTGCTGTCCACTGCCTCACTATGTCTAACCTTTTGCAATTTTGTTAACGCCGTTTTATCCTGTTTTTCTTTGGCCAAACGCGTGTCCAATAGTTCCTTGCCCATATCACTGGTGTCCATGGCAACTTCTTCATCTGACCAATCGCAGTCGTATTCTTCTGCCCAATCATCTCCGCTGAAGTGCATCCATTTACGGCAGTAGGTCCGAAGTGACAAATTGGAGTTGTTACGACTTCCCTTGTTTTTTGACTTGTCTTTGAAGTAGTCTGCAATGTAATAAGAGGGTATTGTTAAGAGGCATTCTTTCAGTTCTGTTTGACTTCTGTAATTTGTAGAAAAAACATGAAAACATGAAGATACTAATGTTTATAGATTTGTTACTTACCATTTTCTCAGAAATAACGCACTGTTAAAAAATCATAACTTATATCAGGTTTAATTGTTTAAGAACAAATAAGCAGAAAAATATAAAGTTAGGAACAAATGATGCAAGAATGTGTTTATTTCACATCAGTCATATAATCTCAACGTGTTTGGTTCAATTGGAAGATTTCAAATTTTACATGGAGGGAGGGGATAGTACAGAGACAGAACAAGCATTGAAACTTCGTTTGTGCGGCATGGGTAAGATGTAAGAAACTAAAAAGTCGACAGGAACATGTGTCCTCTCGTGTCCTGCCTTTTGACCTAGATTCTATTTTGCCGAGCAGTCGGAAATAAACATAATTATCAGAAATCACTCAGTCTGTCGGAAATAGAGTTCAGTGCAACTTCTTACCTGTCTTTATACTTTTGCCTTTAGACATGGTTTTCGCGCAAACAGTTTCTGGGTTATAGACTTCGTATCTCAACTGTAAGGGGTTGACCCCCTCCGTCTCGTTCTTTGTATTTGTGATAATACTGAAAAAAGGAAAGAAAACGTACTTCACGTACACGCACTGTACATGTAGCTACAGATGGCAATATATTCCGATGGGCCAACTATAGAATTAGCTGAGAAATCGCATATTGGTTAACTGTACACGCAAATTTTCTGAATGAATGAATTATAAATGTATAATAACTAGCCAATATTCACAAACCCTTAAGGAACTCAATATTGAAAAAAAAAACAAAAAACAAAACAAAAAAAACAAAAAAAAAAAAAAAAAACAAGGAATTAAGAAAAATTAATGGTTACGTATTATATTCATTTATGATATATAACCATTATTTTTCAAAACTGTGAGAATACATAGGCAATTAAACATTAACGGCCGATTTCATAAAGGAGGTTTAAAGTTAAACCTGGTCTAAAGTGAGTTTACACCAGGTTTAGGGATTGCCTGCATTTCATACAGAAGGTTTTAGTATTGGACCAGTGGTCTAGTAAAACCTGGCTTAACATCATTCTAAACCTGGTCTAGACAGGTTTGTGTTTCATAATTGAGGTCTAAGTTTTTGATACCCGGATTATGGACTCAGACCAAGTCTAAAAATAAACCTAGTCAGACCCAGGTTTAACTCTGTAGCTTGGAAAAAAGATGGCTGACGTAGACTTGCGTGATATTCGAGCACTTAACAATTTGGACGCAAGAAGACGCCCCGAGCGTCGCTGACGCATTTTTCGAGCAAGGGTTAATTATTTTGATTTCTATGATGAACAAGATTTCAAAATCAGGTTCAGAATTTCTAAAGAAATAGCACGTGAGGTCATAGCACTGATAGAGGATCGATAAGCACCCTATACATTGAGAAATCGCAGCATTTCACCGGAGCTACTTTATGTGATTTATGTGATGTGACATCATTTTTCTTTGATTCAATGATGTTGGACTTCTCCTTTATTAGTTCTTAGATGTATCCCTTCTCTTCAGCAGAAAAATTCTCCGCTCTCTTTCGGCTCATTTTCACCTGCTCTTTATTTCCAAAGTTTTTTCTCATATGAGCTACACAGCTTATCTGCTTCAACGCTAGTGTGTGTCATCTATTCATTTACGCCTACCTGATTGACACAGTTCAGTGATTTCTTTGTCTATGTAATCCTGTTACATTCAACAGGAGGTCAAGGACAAGTTAAAACTGGTTTAGCTAAACCTGGTTTTCTAGCTTTCCTACACTGTTAGTGAAATGCAATTTAGGTCTTGAGGTAGACCAGGTTTTGCTAGACTAGGTTTTAGCCTTAAACTAGGTTTAGTTAAACCTCCTTTATGAAATCGGCCGTAAAAATCTACGGATATTTCCGTTTACCTTTTTCCCTGTTTGTGATTGCTTTCTTTTCTTTGTGCATCCCTGATTGATCTTTTTTGCATTGCCTCCTTTCTCCTTGCATCCTTTCTCATTTCTTTTGTAGATACAGGTTTTCGTTTGCCACGCTTGCCTGCTGTCTTTGCATTTTCCTCGGAAGGACTGTCAAAGAAACTTTCCCAATTCACGTCATGAGAACTCGTGCATTCTGTTTTGACTCGATTGCCGGTTCTTTTGCGTTCCTCTACGGTCACCTCGTAATTGGAATATATTCCTAGTATGTGGATGTTGTCTCTAACACTTTCAATTAGCTTCCAGCTTTTTCTCTTGCTCAAAGACCGCGGAACATTTTCATCTTTGCTCAACTCTATTTCTATATCGTCTCCCAAAAGGTCGGGAAGCTCGCTTATCATATCCTGAGCCGTCCTCCAAGTCTCAGCTGATTTGCTCGGGTATCCCACTATGGAACGGTGAAATGTGTTTGGCGTCCGTTGACATAGCAGATTTTCCGACGTCTCTTGGTCGGGGACGCCCCAGTACTGACTGTGCGCCAAGGCCCGAGCAAAGGGGAAGTTGACGTTGAAAGAGCACCCCGTGTTGAGGCCCTTCTTGCTGCGCTTTAGCACCATGGTGCCTAGGCGGCGTTCTCTTTCTCCGCTCCTGAATATTTCAAGATACAAGTGTGTTATGTAATTGTGTAAGGAGGTCGATAATAACGATATATCAGATACCGAAAAATTATGTGGTAAGTGTGAATGCTGGAGCACAAATCTCCATTATAGCAAAGGGAAATCTATTATACCTCCTTGGTTATAGGGATGGTGGAAGGCATGGTGGCATGATTACACGAATGGATGAGTGAAAAAATAGATAAGGGTATACACCAGTAGATGGCGCTGTAGCTGGAAGAATAGACTTTAAAGTACTAAGATAGTTCGAATTTTTAGATAAAATATGCAAGAAGCAAAATTTGTCATGACCAAAAAGGTACACAGTTCCTTCTTGGGCCTATGCTATACCAGTACATGAGTCCAAGTTTGCTTTGTATAGTGCATGTACAGTACAGAAGAAAAGACAAACACCACATATTTCAGGCCCGTAGCCAGGAGGGTTCGGGGGGTTAGAAAGAACCGCCCCTTTTGCTGGGCTAATTAGGTCTACTCTGGGTAAAATTTGATCTAGTTACATTAAGTTTTTATGGGAAAAGGTCCACTTTTATAGAAAAAGACCCCCCCCCCTTTTGAAATTGCTGGCTACAGGCCTGTATTTCATATAAGTTGGTACATTTTATGTGTCGAGACACTTCTCTCTCTCTCTCTCTCTCTCTCTCCATCAAACCACCTACCAGTACCGACACTCCAGATAATCCAACAGACCATCACATTCATTCATGCAATATTAATATTATACAGTGTATATACATGTTTCTATAGGTACATGTAAACCCTCTCTTTGACATCAATTAAAGCACTAACTGCACGCACACACATAAACACGCACGAACACACGTGAAGAGAGAGAGAGAGAGAGAAAGAGAGAGAATGGCGTGTCGACACATTAAATTGTACCAACAGCATGGATAATGTGACTCGAAAAATATTGAGTGTGTTTGCCTTGGCAGTTAATGTATCCTACCTTCGTCAACACATACCTGTCTTTATCTTGTGTCCGCCATCATTACAGGTTGTCTCTGGCCGTAACCAAGTCAAAAACAGGCCTAATGTACGCCCCGACAACACATCTCATGACTCCTAACGCGACTACATTGCATTAGGTTATCTCTCCAGTTTGGCCGGGCGTGCACAGGTCTATGTGCATTGCTCTCTGTGACATCGACTATTGTTGTGGCAACATCAATAATTTGTTTGCTTAGGCATTGCATGGTAGGCGGACTCACAATGGAGCTCTGTCGAAGAATGTCCCACTGTATAGCTTAATTTCTACAACGCTAGATTTTACTTTCCAATTAGCCGTTGTGTTTTATGGTGGTATATCTATGCTTGGTCTTTTTAAGGACTATCTATAACACACAGAAACTATTTTACTAAATTTATGTCCGTGCCAATGTAACGTTAAAGCTAATTGCGATAGCTGGACCATAGCTCCCAGGATAAGTGTTTCGCAACTAACACAATACGCTTGTTGGCTAACAGGTTGTTGCATTTTATCAGAAGCTGGTTAATTTTATGCTCGTCTAGATCTCTGCCTGCCAACTAAATCTCTTTATATACAGTAATTAATTTTTTTCAGCGCGCTTGCAAAACCATATTCGTCTCTTAAGTCACGCTTTCTCATTTATATTTGTGTAAAACGTTTTTATTGATTTTCTAAATACTATGTTATTAAATGAATAATTTTTACCCTAAACTTCATGACCAAAATCTTGGTCTACTTCAATTAAAATTTAATTCATAGGACCAATTTTCGGTGAAGTAGGCCCTGAATGGCGATAGTGAAGATTATTATTTAGATTTTTTAATGATTCGGGGTAAATCTCGGTATTTTGGTGGATGGATCGATCTAAATCTCTGGGAATGCACTGTTACTATGCTGAACATACAGATGAATAGCTATAGGAGAAGTTATTAGCTACACTGGGTACGCAATTTACGTTAATTTTTTTCATTCTGTTCCATGAACAATAGGAGTACCAATATGCCTTGTAGAATTAATCCAGCTAAAAACCAAACAAATAAATTCATATAATGTCAACGACTTGAATAGCACACCCATGTAAATTATCACAAAGGAATTCCGATTGATTTCAGTTCGATCTATCAGTCGTTTTCATGATCCCACATTTCGCTCTAGCTCGTACGTCACTAACTGTAGAACATAAATAGAATATAATTTCCGATAGCGGGCTGCATTGTCTAGTTTAGGTAACCCTATTTTCGGCTAAACACACTGACACAAAAGTTAATACCTGAGGACCTACTCCAGAAATTTGGACAACGGCGACGACGACAATGCCACCGACGGTCTTTTCACATTATACGCTATTCATGATGCTTTTGAATTAGCTGATATGTGAGTCACTACACGAGGTCGAGGACACCCGGCCGATTTAGTTGATTGCAATTCCTCACCCTGTATCTTTATACCCTCTGCTAGGGCCACAGATGGATTTTTCACTAGATATTCACAGAAATGCCTTTGATTAATTCATGACACTTTTCTATGCTGTGGTAGAAACAAGTGCACATAATAAATCTGCGGCCCCGGTAGAGGGTAGTATCTTTACATGTAATACACTCGTTCTCCGCCAAAAGAATTGATTGGTCGCTAAGCGTCTTAGACAACTACCGTAAGGTCAAGAATAAACGGAAGAAAAGAGCCTTCGAAACATCTTAAGTTCTCCCTCAGAAATATGTTACAAAAGGAAAGGCTAATATATTTAAAGCTCATTAGTTGACATTGTCGTATGAATTTGATGTTGACTATCAAATATTGTTAAAGCCCCAACTTTGAAGGGGATGAGGGTGGGTAAAGGGACGCGAGCCCGGTGTAACAGGTATAGGTCCATATACCGTCCAAAGCGAATTACACCCAATAAACAAATTGTGCGCCACCAAATCCTAATTCGTTACTGTTATATTAACTCTCAGTGGCTTTCAGGAGACCACAACACATGCAGGTCCGAAACTATGGATCATTTGGGTTATGCCGAACTTGAACTAGGGTCTTAATACCGGTTGTCGCATGCCCTCCCTAACGTTCGTTGCTAGTCACCTGTTTATTTAAAACGGATCGGCACAGCATAATCTTCGCATTAACATCTTTAGTGGGCAGCAGTGTATACAGTGTATAACTTCACATGTTGGTGTTGAGACTGGTGCACTTAGTAAGACGTGAAAGTGCATGTTTCATGACAAAAGTGCGACTCCTGTGGGGGAGGGGGAGGGGGGATGTCTTCTGGAACGCACGCGTCTTGAAAAACGTGATCTTTGTCATCGATGTCCCGTTTAGTTTATAATTAGTTCCGTAATATCAATTGCCGTCACATCCAAAAAAATACTATAAAAACTATGATTAAACAATGGAATTGTGTAGTTACGGGCTAAAGTTCCTATATGAGTGTTCTTAGTAGATTTGGTTGTATCATCAAAGTATTGGCGAAGCAGCGTTGGCTGAAAACATCTTAACAAAAAAGGTGAGTTGTGATATTTTGACTGAAGTAAAACGAGAGAGTAACCTTCAGACACAGCAGCGAGTTTATATGCAAGTTCAATAAGCAACCAGGGACATATATGAAAAGATAAGTAAAAAAGGCCAGGTTTCCATTCGAGCTGCGTGTTTCGGGCATGCACAGCCTATCTGTGGGGAATTCATCCTTTCGTCAAAATTTTGCAGCGTTTGAAATACTTAGCTTACTTTTCCGTTTTTCGTGTACATGTTCTCATCACAAGCAAACAAGCAATGCCGAAGGATGTTATTAAAGATGTCCTTATTTGAGTGAATCTAGATATTTTACAATAAATTTACGGTTATAACCTTTTATAGACATTTCCCAAGTATTTATCATGACATCAGTGCACATGGCCATTAGACACGAAAACAGAAGTACCCATCTAGTTGTTATTTTACATTGCGCCTTATTGACAAAGCTTTTTGTCGTAACAGTATAAACACTTCAGAGATTAAGACCTACGGACCTTAACCCTGTTGTACCTCATTGTGATTATAAGACATGTTCTTCTATTCGGGGCAATACACCTGTATGGTTTGAAACACAGGGTAAGATATCTTATGGTGCTCTCGGCGTCCACTGATATGCATGTTGCCTTTCATGGAAAGCAAAGGCGGGGCGAAGGGGCCAGTGCTATTTATTGATATAACTCTTCCAATACACCGGGCTTCTTGACACGTTTCGCGGTTCAAGAGGTCTGAAATGCACAGCACAGCGCAGGGGCTGCGTGTGTCAACAATGAACCTCTCTCTGAGCTTTTTGCAGCCGAGTTAAAACGCCGTTGACAACCGACGGACGACCACAGTGGCTATGTGACAAGACAGGTGAAACAAGTAAGTAGGGACCGGTGACAGGGTTGTCAGCGTGTTCTCAGAGTACTTTAGTTTAACTTTATCGCTTTTAATGAAATCGAGAATAGAGTAAAACTTTAAGAGAAGAGAGAGAGACACCGACTGGCAAAAATACGTAATACATGACTTAGTGCGAACATGGTGGCTTGAGGGTTGAGTGAAAGATTCCAGTTAGGTTTTGCGACCAAGGGATAGAATCAAGTTAAAAACCGGTTAAATAAGCAGTTAAATTCTAATGACAGTGACAGGTAGTCCGAATCTTTTTGGGTTCACTACATGTAAAGATATTCCATACCTACATAAAATCAGATGTGTCATATCTAAGCATCCACGTTTATTCTGTTTATTGCTGAGTTTACATCCCATTAATTTTCTAAAGATGCTGTTAAATTGTTTTATAAGAATGATAGACGATGGATCTACTCGTCTCGAGTGCTTTAACGTTGACAATTGTACAATTCCTTTGTACATGCGGCGCAACCAAGTAAGTCTACTGGTCGTACATGTACGTGTACCTATGGCGCATGATATAACTACCTTTTTCTTCTAACATCTTGCACACCGAGGCTATTATCACCCCCGGTTCTGTTAGAACCTCTGGCTCTCATCTGGTTTTCTTGATGGAGATGAATAATCTATACTCTATTCTGGTCTGTTGGTACTCCACAAGTGCTGTAGACGTATGAACATGCCAGGACGCCATACACCGACATAGTCCATTGTTTACCTGTGCAGGTATAAACTTCATTACCTCGCGTTACAAAAATTGAGCTGGTAAAAAGTATATAGCTCGTCTGCACTGTATGCGTATCCATGATACATGAACATGGCTGTATATANGTACTCCACAAGTGCTGTACACGTATGAACATGCCAGGACGCCTTTCACCGACATAGTCCATTGTTTACCTGTGCAGGTATAAACTTCATTACCTCGCGTTACAAAAATTGAGCTGGTAAAAAGTATATAGCTCGTCTGCACTGTATGCGTATCCATGATACATATACACGGTTGTATATATATATATATATATATATATATATATATATATATATATATATATATGGTGTTGTTCCCGTGTACCGAATGGATTGTAAACGGACTAAATCAGTTAAAAAATGTTTTCTAGAGACCTGATGACGGGCAAGTTATGTCACAGTTATTCGGATGAATTATTTAACAAAATAAAATAAAAACACAGGCCCGTAGCCGGGGGTGGGGGGGGGTTGCTGGGAAAAGGTTCCCCCTGGGGAAAATTTTATTTAGGTACATGAAGGTTTCATAGTAAAAAGATCCCCTTTGCGGAAAAAGAACGCCCCTTATGAAGTTGCTGGCTACTGGGTTGATAACAGTTAAAACTATTCGAGTGCGAAGGCCCCGTTAATCGTTATACTTGTTTTTGATTACAGTAATACTTGGTTTTGCAAGACGTCTCTTATTTCTGATACTCAGAAACTCAGTATTAAAGGTGTGTGTAGGCCCTACCACATATCTGCTGATAATTAAGTTCGTCTTTGTCCAGCTGGTAAAATCTGCCAGCAATTACAAAATATAACGGCGACTACCTACAGTGCAATCTTCACTGTCATGTGAGCTTTTCCATACAGTTATAAGAAGGTTTCCCTCGATTCTGTTTAGATCAAATTATCTGAGAAAGCAAGTTTTACGTTTAATTAGTCACCTAATCGAGGTGAAAAAATGTCATAGCTACTTGGGTTATTAGGATAAAGAGAGCTGAGAGAGAGAGAGAGAGAGAGAGAGAGAGAGAGAGAGAGAGAGAGTGAGTGGAGGGGGTTCTAGTGCACACGCACACACTCACACACGTACGCGTGCACCCACACACTCACACGAACGCAGACACACACAAGCATGTGTTTCAAACTGTACAAGTAAGTGTGTCTAGAATTGATTTCATGCCTCGGTAATTTTAACAAATGACATATCTTATGACGGCGTACAGAAGTGTGGACTCAGTTCTTCAACGTTCAGGTTTCCACAGGTAAAACTTCGCATGCTGTCTTTGTAAGCGGCGGAGGTTTGCCTGCCCGTGATATGCTTTCAAGATAGCACAATGAGATTGATATTCAACTCGTTAACAAATATCTTGATACTCTTTGAAAGACCATACAGGCTCATTTCTTTATCTCGTATGCCNTCGTTAACAAATATCTTGATACTCTTTGAAAGACCATACAGACTCATTTCTTTATCTCGTATGCCAGTATATTGTAACCTGACTGGGTCAAAAACGAACTACCTTGTTGGAAATGATCTCACATTGCACTGCATACATTGTGAAATGAACGACAGCGTTTTTTTTTTATTTTCGACAAAAAGTGTATAATTCACTGCGCAGTTCGTGTTCATAAATCAAATTGTCAGGAAGATTTACTGTCGTCTGAGCAGGGAATTATATCGTAGACGTCTAATTCCTTGGTCTGGGGGAGCGAGGAAATTATTTCGTTACAACAATGAAAATAAGCCAAATTAGTTTACAGATATCTTTTTTATGTTTGAGTAATGGGCGGGGTGGGTTTCACCTATCCCCCTTCCTTTATTTCTGCTGAAAGCGGTGTCTTCGCTCATACATCAATTAACCGTCCTGTTTTATGAAGATCTGACCCGAGCCTACAGGTCGTCCATTGCAGGGCGCTCACCTGTGCAAAACACACTCGTCAAAATCCATTATTCTTTTCCCGTCATCATTCTATTATGTCAGTCAGCATATGTTTGAGCATTGGCAAATCTAGTATTATATAACCTTTGCACTTCCTGACGCAGCTTCCCATTTTTTCTATTCATAACTAGCGTGAACACAGCTGTATCGTCCCTGACTAGAAAAATCACCTTAAAAATCCGCTCATATAGCTCATATATGTAAAAAAAAGTAATTTCATCAAATTCTATTAACGATATTTCACTATTTTTGTGATAAAAAGATGGATTATCTCTACCTCATGTCAAAGGCGGAACTATTTCGGACAACAAAGACGCATCGAGATAATCGATAAAGGGATCTTTTTTTCTATTTCTTCCTTAACAAAAGTCTTCTTCAATGATACAAAGAATGCCTTACCATTCGCAGGGAGTCCAATCCTACAGGCCATAGGATGCAAATATTTTTCTGACAGTAAAATGACACTACTGTGACCTGCAGTAAAAAGTTCTTTTCGGGGTTTTCGTTAACACCAATTTCTACAAACTGCCATTATACATGTCATCAGAATATATCTATTTATAACATTATTGTATACATATTCATCACAACACCTGATGTGATTATATAGATCCAAACACCAATAACATTATCTCGTCAGCAATGATACTGCGTTTGCGCGTGTATGATGAGCAGCAGGATTATTTGAACGTGCGTGTCTATTTAAATCGCACCTTATCAACAACACAAAATACTGAGTTTAGCGTTTTGATAAATAATGTGGCTCATACCAATAACAGCTGGTAGATATATTTTAAATGAAGCATAGAATCGATGTCCAATGGGTTTAAGAATCACGCCGTCTTATGCTTGACATCCGGGATTAAGTGCCCACGCCCACTCAAGTTGGAACGCAACTAAAAAGGAGGAGAGCGCTTTTTAAAGCACCCACGTCCAGAATTGAGTCGTAACTCGCATTGAATAAGTGACTCTTAAAACTACAACTCACTTCCTTTTTTCTTTTTCAGAATAGAACACGAGAACTTCACGACGTAACCCGACAGCTGGAAGGATCATTATGCGAGGGACACTGTACTTCGCAAGGAGCTGTCCGCCATGCATTCTGGCTTTGGTCATACTGTTCACCGTTGCTGTGTCCGGCGAAAGGTCGGTCATAACTTTAACGAACAACGGATATTCAGGCATATTGATAGCAATAGGCAGCGACGTGCCGGAAGATTCTACAATTATCACCAACATTCAGGTATGTTTTATTTTCTGTCGGATATAAGGGGTAAGGCTGGGGATGTACCTTGGGTGCCCCCCTCCCCCCCTCCCCCCCCCCCCAGTCATTGATACAACTGTATCAGCAATGGCGATATGAGGTCTTTCGTTCGCTCTTATTTTCACACTGTTTGTTGGTCTATTTGTTGATTCAAAATAATTAGATTAGGAAGTATTTTCCCAAATATTAATCATATAGGCGAATACACTTCTACAAGAAAATATCAATCACTCATGATTATACACCAGCACTTTGTGAAAAATATACATAAAAGCAAATAATTTGAAAACTGAGTCTTTTTATAAATCCATATTAATATTCGTATTAAAACAAAACACAAATATGCTTTATAGAAATGTCGCGTAACAATAAAACATAACAATAAGTGAATAAGGTCGAAGTGTAACGCATGTGAAAGTTTGCCCACCACACAGGACGTGACGAGGGATATTTTAAAATAGCGCTATCATCATGTCATAAAACTATAAGGGCTGGTGCTTCAGATAAGTTTTTATTTGGCTTAGTAAAATATTGACTAGAATTAAAATAGAATTAAAATGACTGGTACCAATGCTGTTTGAGTGTTTATTTTGCCAGATAATAGATATAAAATTCGATATGTTCAGTTAATCGTACACTGTTATATGCATGTTTATTTTCTGTTTTATTAATTTTGGGCGCCATAAGCCATATTTGCTTGTCGAGTTTTCGGGTTATCTCAACAATTACACTATAAGGTTAAATGAGGAAGAGATATACAAAATAGTGACGCCACATCCCCGGTTAATTATTCACTATGCGTGCCAGCTAAAACTATTATTATAAATTTAGGGCGATTCAGTTCATCTGTTTACCTCAAACCACTAGTATTTTGCTTATTGACTGTGCCGGCCTAATGGATGATATTGGGCTTCTGCCACCCCCACCCCCCCCCCCCCCAAAAAAAAAGGGGGGGGGCAAAAACGAAGGGGGGTGGGGGGTGGAGGGCCCCTCTCCATAGCTGCAAGCTGTGGTTTTCTTTCACTTATTTCAACGATATTTGTTATTTTTTCCCCTTTTCGGCATGACCATTGCCCAAAGAAATGTTACATTTTAAAGCTGCAAACTCTTGAACGTATTCTTCCTCACTTGAAAATAAAAGTAAAAAAGTCACCTCTGTTGGAAAGGGAAAAAACTCCATCTTAATGTGATTGTAATTGACACTGAATATGAACGAATAAAAATGTTGGACGAGGCGTGAAAATAGCATCATTATCTAATTAGTGTTTGGGTGTTGACAACGCTGCCTGCACTTTTATCACATAAATTAGTGTCATAACTGGTCGTCAGCTAGTCGATAAAATCAATCACGCCGATCTATAAGTATGGGTGGAATTATCATCGTATAATCCAGCCAAATTGATTTCAGAATACACACGTCTCTCTGTCACTCGCGTCTTGTTTGTCTCTTCGTTACGTAACCAAAGAGGGAAGTGCGCGAAATACAAGGGATCGTTTGAAGGCTCAAGGGCCGCTTTTATTGAATCAAAGTCAATCTGTTTGACAGGTTGAACATGATTTGATTTGACAGAGTGAATGAATGAATTCATTTTAGGATTACATTAAAGACCGTAGGATAAAACACTTAAGTCCAGAGACTTATTTCCAATGTGGTGCTGAATTCAAGTAGTTATTTCTTCTCTCCGATTCTATAAATTGTTAGCTGTTTATTTCATAATCAAATATATTAGGCCAGATAGAAGTGTATAACATGTTCTCAGTTGATTCTTTTCTCAAAGTTTATCTGTAAAGCATGCAAAAGAGTAGGGCAAAGATTTGTGTGCAGTTAAACGAAGTATGCACTTAACTCAGTCTCCATCCCCTAAATAAATAGATTTTAATACACGTCAAATTTTATCCGTGCTATATTTTACACAATCAAATTAACTGTTCTAACTTGTGTAAAGTCTGATCCTACTTAAACATTGATCGAACAGTGTGTGGTCCAGGTGTAACTCTGTTTATTTTTTAATTTGTTTTTTAATACGGGAGGCTTTTAAAAAGAAGCGGATCGCAACGGATTATCTCTGTTTCGGGGGCGAAAACACGTTTTTCTTCTTCCCGCCGTCAGCGCTTTGTCAAATAAATGTATAAACACGTTGAAAAGAAATCGATCTTTTTCAAATTAAATCTAGTTTTTGTCAATATTAAGAAGTAAATATTGAAGTACAAATAACACACCCCAGTCACAAAAGTATTAAGCATTTTTAAGTTCCTTATAGATAAAAAAATGATTAAAATCATTTCATATGTAAAAGGTGGTGTTTTTCGAAGATAAATGTTGTCAGCTATATTATTTTTTAATATTTAGATTTTTTTAGATTATTGAAGTCATTTTTAAAATGTTGAAGATATTGCAGTTGTAAAATATCAAGTAAGGCCTAAAGGAGAGCTCTGTTCGGCACTTTTTCCTTTTACTATTAGGTATAACTTAGACGTAACCGAACCTGAATCTATAGAATTCAACCTCTTTGTTTAATTTCAATCTTATTTAGAACTTAACAAAAGGTCACTTTCAAAATGGGTTGCAACCATTGTTTTACTAAATTAATTCCCTTAAAATTTCCAATAAAAATGGTTAAGTTGAATATGTGTACAAAAAGTCACAAATTCTCATAGGGATATTGTTGACTTCAAATGACAAAGAATCGGTGTTAATATGCCAAATTTTAAATTTTATTTTAAATACTGGACCAAGATGCCAAATAGTCCGATATTTATGGTTTTCTAGCTGCAGTGAGTAAAAAGTATACCTTTGTGACGATAATTGTCCATACCTGGTTACAACGTTTCAACAACAAAGTAGCACAGGCAAATATTGGTTTAATCTGAATATTTTTACAGCAAACTTAGAAGGTAAAGGTTTGTGCGTTTTGAGATACAAATCGTTATGCTCAAGGACCTCTTTTAAGTTGAATACGCATGATCTTTTTTGGTGTGACGTAACTTCTTTATGTTAATTTGGTTTCGCATACTCAATAGAACCAGTATTGCACGAGTATGTTTGCTTCTTTAAATAAATAAAAGTTTAAACTCCCTTAACTGTGGAAGGCGACCCTTGTGCGATCCTTGTGCGGCCATGAACCTGGCCAGGCTGTCTATGGAGGCTCAAAGGAGACACCAGGCTGTCTATGGAGGCTCAAAGGAGACACGGTGGTCGCTTTGATCGTACACAGGACGTTCACGCATCGCTGTGGAGGCCATGGTTGCGACAAAGTTTTGGACATGTGCAACCACATTATTTTTTTATTGATTCATAACGGTTAAAAGAAATACTTACAGATGTGTGACGAGCTAAAAATTTTCCCTGGAGTATTTTTTATTCATTTAATTATGCAGTGAATTATTGGTAGGTATTTCTGATGTACTCTTGTGCACAAGCGAGAAACTAATATTAAAAAAGCGTAATTCAAAATTAAAGGAAGGAAGGGGTGAACAGAATAATAAACAAGAAAGTCCCGTCTATTATTTTCATTATATTAATTTCTTTAACAGTGAACGTAAGAAAAGGGCGTTGGGAAAATTTAAACCCTAAAGCGCAATTTTAAGAAATTTACAAAAACACCTACTAAAATGATATTTTCAAGTACCTAGTAGAGCATATCTTGCATTTTGACAGTGGTATTAAACTACGCTAAACATGTGTAAATATCTTTATGTGTTTCCCAGCTGCATTGTTTGACGGCCTGAAAAGTTAGGACTTGCCTATGGTACATTAGCTTTCTTCAAACCTAGCACTGTTTACAATGTGGTTGGTGGTATATATATCAAGGTACCCGTAATAGAAAGCAGGAATTAGGGTTATGAATTTTTCTTTGTTACATCCGACGTTCAGACGTCAGAAGCTTAAGAAAAATAAACACGTGTGCTTTGATTTAAAAAAGGGCCCAAGGATTCGATTACCTTCACCTGTTCTAGGTTCCTGAAGGTGGAAGAATAATGAATGAACGAAACGCTTTTTGTTGAACACAATATAGATAAACTGACATCGAAGGTGAAGAAAGCAAGTTACTAAAACACGCAGTTAAAGCTCAAATTTCGTCGCTATATAAATAAACACAGCATTTCTGGAAATACAGCAATTAACTCAAGGCATCAAGAGAAAATCTTCATAAAAGATTTTCATATGAATAAAAGCTGATAATTTTAGATCGAAATGATACTTAGCAAAAAAATAAAATTTCAAACTTAATCCTATCACTTTTTAATATCCAGGATTATTTCACTGAGGCCTCTAAGGCCCTTTTCACCGCTACCAACCGGCGGTCATACTTTAAAGACATTACCATCCTAGTCCCCAAGACTTGGACAATGACCGCCAGTCCTGCCACCACGGAGTCCTTCGACCGGGCCAACGTGATTATCGACAAGGCGAATCCCATCTACGGAGACAGCCCGTATGTCAAGCAAGGCAGCACTTGTGGGAAGCCTGGGGAGCGTATGCATCTTACCCCTAAGTTTGTTTCTGACCGAACTTACTCAGAGACGACGTTTGGGCATATTGGTAAGTATATTTTAATACACATTAAAATGTGTATATGTGCGTGCATGCGTGTGTGTGTATGTGTGTGTGTGTATATGTGTGTATGTGTGTGTATGTGTGTGTNTGGTTATACACCAGCACTTTGTGAAAAATATACATAAAAGCAAATAATTTGAAAACTGAGTCTTTTTATAAATCCATATTAATATTCGTATTAAAACAAAACACATATATGCTTTATAGAAATGTCGCGTAACAATAAAACATAACAATAAGTGAATAAGGTCGAAGTGTAACGCATGTGAAAGTTTGCCCACCACACAGGACGTGACGAGGGATATTTTAAAATAGCGCTATCATCATGTCATAAAACTATAAGGGCTGGTGCTTCAGATAAGTTTTTATTTGGGTTAGTAAAATATTGACTAGAATTAAAATAGAATTAAAATGACTGATACCAGACTTGTTAGAGTGTTTATTTTGCCAGATAATAGATATAAAATTCGATATATTCAGTTAATCGTACACTGTTATATGCATGTTTATTTTCTGTTTTATTAATTTTGGGCGCCATAAGCCATATTTGCTTGTCGAGTTTTCGGGTTATCTCAACAATTACACTATAAGGTAAAATGAGGAAGAGATATACAAAATAGTGACGTCACATCTCCGGTTAATTATTCACTATATGCGTGCCAGCTAAAACTATTATTATAAATTTAGGGCGATTCAGTTCATCTGTTCACCTCAAACCACTAGTATTTTGCTTATTGACTGTGCCGGCCTAATGGATGATATGGGGCTTCTGCCCCCCCCCCCCCCCAAAAAAAAAGGGGGGGGGGCAAAAACGAAAGGGGGGATTAGAGGGCCCCTCTCCATAGCTGCAAGCTGTGGTTTTCTTTCAATTATTTCAACGATATTTGTTATTTTTGCCTCTTTTCGGCATGACCATTGCCCAAAGAAATGTTTCATTTTAAAGCTGAAAACTCTTGAACGCATCCTTTCGAGGAATTTCTTCCTCCCTTGAAAATAAAAGTAAAAAAGCCACCTCTGTTGGAAAGGGGAAAAAACTCCATTTTAATGTGATTGTAATTGACACTGAATATGAACAAATACAAATGTTGGACGAGGCGTGCAAATAGCATCATTATCTAATTAGTGTTTGGGTGTTGACAACGCTGCCTGCACTTTTATCACATAAATTAGTGTCATAACTGGTCGTCAGCTAGTCGATAAAATCAATCACGCCGATCTATACGTATGGGTGGAATTATCATCGGATAATCCAGCCAACTTAATTTCAGAATACACACGCCTCTCTGTCACTGGCGTCTTGTTTGTCCCTACGTTACGTAACCAAAGAGGGAAGTGCGCGAAATACGAGGGATCGTTTGAGGGCACAAGGGTCGCTTTTATTGAATCAAAGCCAATCTGTTTGACAGGTTTAACATGATTTGATTTGACAGAGTGAATGAATGAATTCATTTTAGGATTACATTAAAGACCGTAGGATAAAACACTAAAGTCCAGAGGCTTATTTCCAATGTAGTGCTGAATTCAAGTAGTTACTTCTTCTCTCCGATTCTATAAATATATAAGGCCAGATAGAAGTGTATAATATGTTTTCAGTTGATTCTTTTCTCAAAGTTTATCTGTAAAGCATGCAAAAGAGTGGACAAAGGTTTTTGTGCAGTTAAATGAAGTATGCACTTAACTCAGTCTCCATCCCCTAAATAAATAGATTTTAATACACGTCAAATTTTATCCGTGCTATATTTTACACAATCAAATTAACTGTTCTAACTTGTGTAAAGTCTGATCCAACTTAAACATTGATCGAACAGTATGTGATCCAGGTGTAGCTCTGTTTATTTTTTAATTTGTTTTTTAAAACGGGAGGCTTTTTAAAAAGAAGCGGATCTCAGCGGATTATCTCTGTGTCGGGAGCGAAAACACGTTTTTCTTCTTCCCGCCGTCAGCACTTTGTCAAATAATTGTATAAACACGTTGAAAAGAAATCGATCTTTTTCAAATTAAATCTAGTTTTTTGTCAATATTAAGAAGCAAATATTGAAGTACAAATAACACACCCCAGTCACAAAAGTATTAAACATTTTAAAGTTCCTTTTAGATTAAGGAAATGATTAAAATCATTTCATGTGTAAAAAGTGGTGTTTTTCGAAGATAAATGTTGTCAGCTATATAATTTTTTAATATTTAGATTTTTTAGATTAATGAAGTCATTTTTAAAATGTTGAAGATATTGCAGTTGTAAAATATCAAATAAGGCCTAAAGGAGAGCTCTGTTCGGCACTTTTCCCTGTTAGTATTAGGTATAACTTAGACGTAACCGAACTTGAATCTATAGAATTCAACCTTTTTGTTTAATTTCAATCTTATTTGGAACTAAACAAAAGGTCACTTTCAAAATGAGTTGCAACCATTGTTTTACTAAGTTAATTCCCTTAAAATTTCCAATAAAAATGGTTAAGTTGAATATGTGTACAAAAAGTCACAAATTCTCATAGGGATATTGTTGACTTCAAATGACAAAGAATCGGTGTTAATATGCCAAATTTTAAATTTCATTTTAAATACTGGACCAAGATGCCAAATGGTTTTCTAGCTGCAGTGAGTAAAAAGTATACCTTTGTGACCATAATTGTCCATACCTGGTTACAACGTTTCAACAGCAAAGTAGCACAGGCAAATATTGGTTTAATCTGAATATTTTTACAGCAAACTTAGAAGGTAAAGGTTTGTGTGTTTTGAGATACAAATCGTTATGCTCAAGGACCTCTTTTAAGTTGAATACGCATGTCTTTATCGATCTTTTTTGGTGTGACGTAACTTCTTTATGTTAATTTGGTTTCGCATACTCAATAGGACCAGTATTGCACGAGTATGTTTGCTTCTTTAAATAAATAAAAGTTTAAACTCCCTTAACTGTGGAAGGCGACCCTTGTGCGGCCATGAACCTGGCCAGGTCGTCGATGGAGGCTCAAAGGAGACACGGTGGTCGCTTTGATCGTACACAGGACGTTCATGCATCGCTGTGGAAGCCATGGTTGCCAAAAAGTTTGGAACATGTGCAACCACATTATTATTATTATTATTATTATTATTATTATTATTATTATTTTGATGTGTGTGACGAGCTAAAATCTTCCTCGGAGTATTCTTTATTCATTTAATTATGCAGTGAATTATAGGTATTTCTGATGTACTCTTGTACACAAGCGAGAAACTAATATTAAAAAAAGCGTAATTCACAATTAAAGGAAGGAAGGGTCGAACAAAATAATAAACAAGAAAGTCCCGTCTATTATTTTCATTATATAATTTTTTAACAGTGAACGTAAGAAAAGGGCGTTGGGAAAATTTAAATCCTAAAGCGTAATTTTAAGAAATTTGCAAAAACACCTACTAAAATGATATTTTCAAGCACCTACATGTAGTAGAACAAATTTTGCATTTTGAAAGTGGTATAAAACTACGCTAAACATGTTTAAATATCTTTATGTGTTTCTCAGCTGCATTGTTTGACGGCCTGAAAAGTTAGGACTTGCCTATGGTATATTAGCTTTCTTCAAACCTAGCACTGTTTACAGTGTGGTTGCAGGCACTTATAACAAGGTACCCGTAATATAAAACGCGAATTAGGGTTATGAATTTTTCTTTGTTGCATCCGACGTTCAGACGTCAGGAGCTTAAGAAAAATAAACACGTGTGCTTTTATTTAAAAAAAGGGCCCAAGGATTCGATTACCTTCACCTGTTATAGGTTTCAGAAGGTGGAAGAATAATGGAGGGTGTTTTAATGAACGAAACGCTTTTTGTCGAACACAATATAGATAAACTAACATCGAAGGTGAAGAAAGCAAGTTACTAAAACACGCAGTTAAAGCTCACATGTCGTCGCTATATAAATAAACACAACATTTCTGGAAATACAGGAATTAAATCAAGACTTCAAGAGAAAGTCTTCATAAAAGATTTTCATATGAATAAAAGTTGATAATTTTAGATCGAAATGATACTTAGCAAAAAATATAAAATTTCAAACTTCACTTTCTAATTATCCAGGATTATTTCATTGAGGCCTCTAAGGCCCTCTTTACCGCTACCAACCGGCGGTCATACTTCAAAGACATTACCATCCTTGTCCCCAAGACGTGGACAATGACCGCTAGTCCTGCCACAACAGAGTCCTTCGACCGCGCCAACGTGATTATCGACAAGGCGAATCCCATCTACGGAGACAGCCCGTATGTCAAGCAAGGCAGCACTTGTGGGAAGCCTGGGGAGCGTATGCATCTTACCCCTAAGTTTGTTTCTGACCGAACTTACTCAGAGACGACGTTTGGGCATATTGGTAAGTATATTTTAATACACATTAAAATGTGTATATGTGTGTGTATGTGTATGTGTGTATGTATGTGTGGGGGGGGGGGGNATCAGGTAAAATAATTAGTCAAACTTGAGGAAGTTCACACACGCACACCCTCACACACAATAAAATAAAATAAAATTAAATAAAATAAAATAAAATAAAAAACTAATACTGCATTAGCCTATGGCCAAAGATTACCATATGTCTTTTTAAATTTTGGAACTACGTCAAGAAAATTCCTTTAGAAAAAAAATTACACCTCCATAGGTGTTATTTTTACATTGCTTAAGGTCGGCATATAGTCTACGTTACCACTGCAAAGTCAACGGAAAATAAGTTATCAGACATATTCAGCGCTACAACCAGCGATTGAAATTTGCAGGAAAAAAAAAAGAAATTTTCAGCTTTTGGTGCTTGATCTACATGTAATAATTTGATTTGAAAGTCTGTCAGCTACTTCTGTGCGATGACCCGTTTCATAGCTAACAGATCTTGTTTACTTCAAGGAAAAATATCACGTAATTCTGTGATTTTTAAACCTAGGCATGCACAATTCTTATATTTTACGTGACATAATAAATTGTCAACTATATTTTTATCCTTTTAATGTGGAACATTAATTTATACTAGTAATACTGATGAGTAATGTGTCGTAACAGACCTACTTTGTAAAATATGATGTGTTGTTCACCGGACTAAGGGAGTGGTAACAGTGCTGAAAAAAAGAGAAATTAACGTCGACAAAATAGTTTTATGAAAATGATTTAATTTCTCTGTAAGAAAATAATTTAATTTCTCTGTTGAAAACCAATTTAATCACATTTAAGCCCCTTTGTTAAAAAGCAGTATATTCACATTTTGGTTTCGCCTATTTCAGGGTCCATTGAAGCTACGCGCTGTAACGGTGGCATAGGAGGGAGACCCATCCAGGGGTTCAAAGGAGCGAGACCAGGCTATCCGTGTAATAAAGATCCCGTCACAGGCCTCTATCAGAAAGAATGCGTGCTGTACCCAGACTTCAGCACCAAAGAAAAGACATCCATCATGTTTTACCATTTTCTTCAGTCGGTAAGTTGCTTGATTAAAAAAAAAAATCAATGAAAAAAATCATAAAACTCATTCCAATATTTTATTCTGCATGGACCTCATAAGCAACTGAAACTGATTTTTTTTGTGCAAAGTAGGCCTACATATCTCTGTATCACTAATTGTATTAAAATATATATTGCCGCTACAAAAATAAAATTAATGATATCGGATGTGCAATAACAATAAAAAAAAAGTATAAAAGAACCCCTTTCATGCTGCGTGATTGGGGTGTAGCGCAGGGTATATCTGTCGTTTTAAATATTATTTAAATAGATGAAATGGAATAATAAAAATAACAAATCAAAACTGTCCTATGAGATGAGCTTTATCCTTCACAGTCATGATTTCAACAATATGCCCGTATTGTGTTTCTTTGAACTTTGACCTTGCTCTTCCGCGTTTTGAATACTGTTTCCTATAGGTTCATACAATTTTAATTCTTATAGGTCACCACGTTCTGTGGCAACAGCCCTGACAGCGAGGCTATAGATCACAACACTGAGGCTCCAAACCGACAAAACCGCCTCTGTGAAGGCAAAAGTGTCTGGGAGGTGATACTCGAGCATCCGGATTTCAGCAACGGTGAGTGTGAAAAAGGAAATAGAACCTCGACCTAAAAGTGAATTTAATTCCTCAACTGTACATGATGAATACAGAATGAGTAATGAATGCTTTGTTTAATTTGTAGGCAGCAACCCAGCCGTGTCCTGGGACAACGAAAACTTCAACACCACACCGTCATTCACAGTCGTGAAGGAAGTGGAGAGACGCTATGTCCTGATCCTTGATGTTTCTGGTAGTATGAACAATGTAAGGAACGAAATTCAACTTTTCCTTTATGTCCTCACTCACTTCTCGCCCCCCCCCCCTCATACCGCTGTAAGTTACAACTAAATTACTTACTGAGTAAAATTAATACTTACTTTGTATTTTACTAAATCGTTATTTACGACCGCAAACGTCAATTCAGTCTCGATTTGCCCTGATTCTATTTCCGGATATTTGAAAACTGAAAGTAGCACTGTCCGTCTTGGCAACAACATACTCCCGTCTCTATCTTGCTCTCGAGCTCTGTCTTGTCGATCGATTAAAAAAACTCTAGTTAAAAATGATAAGATATAACACTAATTACTTTTAGACACTGGACCGCGAGGTTTGTTTCTATACTATTGTCGGTAATTGAAATGGAAAAAGGAAAATCATGAACAGCCAGGTCGGTTATTTTTTTTTAATAAACTGATGTCTGCTCCACTAAGAGCACGAAGCTCTACTTGGAGCAAGAATTATGTATTTATTATTTAATAAGTCAAAATCCAAAATGGACTAAATCTAGCCAAATTAGGACTCACAAATTTCTCAAAGAAATTATACTGCTACTTAGAATCGAGGGACCACCGCAATATATCCATCAACTTTATATAATTCAACAGATATTGAAATTCATTAACCACAATCCTGCATCATTCTACAGAACGACAAGCTTGTTAAGATGACAATCGCCGCTTCGAATTTCATCTTAAACATTGCGGAAGAGGGCAGCAGCATCGGCATCGTGACGTTTTCCTCGACAGCCCAAATAGTGCAGTCGTTAGTTCGTCTCGACTCTGAAGCTGACAGAACTGCCGTTGACGCCAAGCTACCTACATCTGCTTCTGGCGGAACGTGCATAGGGTGTGGTCTGCTTAAAGGGATCGAAGTAAGTCACTGCCATACTGGTTAAATGTGTGTGAGTTTGCTACCTGTTAAAAGTACATAAAAATCTGATTATTTTTACTTGGCGCCTACTGTTTATTATAACAGAACTAAATCACGCTTCAACATGAATTTTAATTTAAAACAATACGATAACTCGTATCTAAGCGGTTCAAAGCTCATTCGAATACGTATTTGCAAAGTAAAGCGAATGCTGGTAAGATCACATTCCAAGATACGTCACACCATGAAAAGGAGACACGGGGAAATCCTTACGAAAATCTGTAGCGCTGTGCGAAACCCTGTACAATGTACCGTGTGTGCGGAAACACAAAACGTACTGGTACTGTTATCAAAAACATCAGTGGGTTGTGAGGAAAAATTGTGAGACGTGACGAATTCGGTAATGCTCATGAACGCGTTCTACACTTTACTTGTGCATCCATCTTTACACAAGTATAAAATAATGACAATATCTATTTCAGGTTCTGGAACAAGCAGGAAACGCGTCTGGCGGCATTCTTAAAGTCATCAGTGACGGCAAAGAAAACGTTGTTCCTTTCATAGCAGAAGTCAAGCCCACGATATTGGCCAAAGGGGTGATTGCTGATACTATTTTATATACAACCGCTGCAGACGACCAACTGACGTCATTGGCGGCAAGCACTGGCGGGCTTTCGTATTACTCCACTAGTGATCTCAACAACGCTTTCATTCAACCCGCCATGAAGCGGGATCCTACGTACGTGCAGGTAATAAACTGGTCCGATTATATTGACATTTCATATCTTATGAATTTTCATCATTTATCCTATCCGGATTGTTCTCGTATCCCTTACCATAAAATAAATTTAAGAGTTTTTAGTCCAGATATAAAACCACACAGCTAGACTTTGTTTCTTTGAAGACACTTTTAAAACATTCTGTTAAAACACAATGAGAGGTAAAATTTGAATGACAAAAACTAGTTTTCTCTAAGGTCCCAACTCAATACAATGACTCCCCCTGAAAATTATTCCAATTACAACTGGGTTATTACCAAAAGAATATCGTGACCACACAGTTTATTTAACGTTCATATTTTTAGCTCTACTCGTCCACATTTACCCTGAATCCACTCTCCACCGCCGTAGACACCATAACCATAGACTCGTCAGTTGGGAACAATACGAGATTTTCTTTTTCTTGGACTGGAGGGTATTCCGGGATATCTCTAACCTTGACCTTGCCAAATGGAACCAATCAGACAGCAAGCGGTGCATCAGGTGACACGACTATTATCATGGCGCTTCCGGGAAAAGCCGAGGTAACTCTCTTGGGTGTAAACGGCATCTTGTTTTTTTTTTTTTTTTTTGTTTTTTTTACTGTGGTAAATAATAAATTAGTTTTAAAACATGGAATTGAAACTGACAACAGACGACGGTCAGATGTTAAACGGAGTCATTGAAGGTTTTAAGTAATTATATAATGGTGCTCCTTCCAAATCCTTTACAAATTCCAAATATCCCACATGGAAATAGTTTTAGTTGTGCAGAATTATCTTTTAAAAGAGACAGTCAATAATTAATGGTATAAGAACACAGTACCCTTTAAAATGATAAATACTGTTTTGATGATTTTAAACCCAGACGACTTGGGTCGCATCCATGGTATAACGCGCTCCCGTTGATTACGTGAAATTTCAAAGGGTGGGATATAAATAATTTTGTAACAGACTACTGGCGCACCCTATGGTCAGGGAGTAGTTTATACTGTGGTTTTGCATGTAGGTACATACACGTAAAATGTGTATTCCCGTATGGGTACATGTATAACAGTATGTACGGAAATTCCTTTTAAACGCTAAATCATTTCCAGGCGGGAAAATACAGGTTCATTCTGGAGAACACGGGCTCACGTACATCGAAGGAAATAACCGGCACTGTGGTCTCAAGGGCTACAGGAGGCAAGAACGACCTCATCCACGTGTCTTCACAGATCAGCGCTTCTGACGTTGATTTTTCAGGTAAACTGGGTCTTTTCGTACTACAACAGTGAAATGCTTGCAACAGATTAGGGAAAAAAGAACGAAAAGAAGGATTCAAAGCCGGTGTTACAAATGATTAGAGTTCGATGTTTAAAAAGACAAAAAACCGATTTGGTACAGGTAGTCCATCTCTCTTAGCCTTAATTCCCACAAGCTGGTCTCAAAATATGACCTTGGAGACAGATGAAGCAATAATAACTCAAAGAAACCTTATCATTTTGACATGTGCTATCTTTCCACCAAATTTCAAAATTACCTTTGAATGTCTTCTACAGATCCAGCGTCATTGTACCTGATAATATATGCTGACGTCACTAGGGGCTATGCACCGCTAGTTGGCGCTACAGTCACCGCCATTGTGGAAGCTAGCGGTTTAGGAACCTTTACACAGGAGTTGAAAGACACTGGCTCGGGTATGTTTATTAATTAATTGAATTGTGTTTATAAATTATTTTTTGAAATTGTATATCGTATTGTTTATCAAGCCAACTTTTTATCTCGTGAAGAAAAAAATGTTATGCTACTGATACGGGTATGAAGCTGGTTCAGTAAAGCCTCTGATAACTAGTAACAACTTCGCCGTTTCGTTCACCAAATGTATTTTTCAATAACAATTACAAAATTGCACCACCATTTTAACGGTGAGGACGCCTTCTGTACAAAAATCGTTGAAGATCTCTTTCAAAGAGTAAAATGAAAATGTAGTTTTTACCATGACCATTGGCGGAGATTGTGGAAGTTTTTTTACCTTTATTATCTAAGTGATTCTTATCGCAGAACGCCTCAAATACAAAGGTACGAACCAAGCACGAAGAAAGAAACTTATCGCTGTTAACTTGATCGAAAAAAACATAAGTTTTAATAAATTATCCTTATGTTCTAAGGGGCCGACCTTTCCGCTGGAGATGGAACGTATTCGGCGTACTTCACAAAATTTTCTGGAAATGCCAAGTATACGGTGATGGTGAAAGTGGAGGGTGGAAACACGACCAAGGTCAAGGTCAACACTGCGGCAAAAGGTCAAGGTGCCCAAGGTCAGTAAGATCCAGTTTGATGTTAAGTACATTTATTGTACAATGGCATACGGCAACGGTGAACCTCTTATGGCTCACAAACAACACCAAGTGCCATACAGTCATGGATGAATTCAAGTTTTTTCCCTATAGCTTAAGGTTTTTATTTTGAATTTTTAAGGTGATAATTTTGTAAAAAAAAATGGGCATATCATTGTTATAATTCAGTTTTGGTTTCAGTAGGTCATTTTTGTAATGGGAGCAGTTTGGAAAAGGCTCCAAACAGTCACGAATAACCTAAACAACTAGGAACCATTCTTGTTTTGTTTTTTCAGCATCATTCACTCACCGTTTTATAATATAAAGTTAACAATTAAATGGATTTGGATGTTTTTCAGCTGTTGACGTTGAAAATAGCGGTACTCAGTTTCAACTCACCACAGTTGACGATTTCTCCCGCAGCAGTTCCGGTGGCTTTTTCACCGTGGCCAACCAGACGGCGGGCTCCACCGTGGATCTCTTCCCGCCTTTGCCTGTTAGGGATCTGAGGGTGACGGCGATGTCGTACGAGATGCGGACGTTTACCTTAGAGTGGACGGCCACGGGTGATGATCTTGACCAAGGAAATGGTATGTCTGTACTAGCGTTAACATATTATATCTGCAACTGTTACTGCTCAGTTTTTTTACTTTTGTATAACACTGCAAGCACGATGCCAAATTTTGATTTTTTTACTCTAGATCAAATACATGTAGTAAACGATGATGACTTGAAAGATGCATTTCAGAACTTGACTAAAATGCGAATAGATTCAGGAATTTAAAGGTAGACTTCACTTTAATTTTACCACTGCTCTGCGTTAATTTGAAGAAGTGCCTTGAAACGAACACAATCTCATTAATGATTTCTATTTGGACGTGGTTTCTGCATACTGTATACTGTATTAACTGTACTACTCTAATAATAAAAATATCTTTATCTGATTTTAGCCTCCTTCTACGATCTACGAATGTCACGCAACTACACCGCGTTAAGGAGCGACTTTGACAGCGCCACTCCTGTTCTGGCGTCACAATTAGCCGAGGGAAACTTGACGTCACCTTTGCCGGCTGGGCAGAAAGAGAAAATTATTATTCTGTTGAAAGATCTCAAGGACGAAACAACTTATTTCTTTGCCTTAAAAGTCGGGGACGAATCGGGTAAAAACAGCAGTGCGTCCAATATCGTTTCGTCCTCTTTCGTTGAGATTAAGCCTGAATCTTCCCATGACAATGCCGGACTTATCGCTGGCGTTGTGCTTGCCGTTGTTCTGGTCGTGATTGTCGTAGTAGTCGTGCTCGTGTATTTCCTTGTCATTAAAAAGAAGCACGTTAAATTACAAGAAAGCGAAGTCTCTGAGAAATCAGGGGTCGACAACCCAGCGTATAGTAAAGATAAAGTCAAAATAACAAATGAGAAGAAGAATGTCAATCAAAAAGGAGCCACGCCGGCAACAACCGCCTATGGTCTGAACAAAGTTGAAATGCCTACTGACGATGGATCTGGATCGAAACCAGCCAAGAATGGGTTCAGCAGTAAGGCGCTAAACAATCCAGTACCTACAGCAAAGAAGAACCAATTGCCTCCACTGAAACCAGCATCTACAGGGAAATCGGGGAATTTGAAATCAAAACCAAAGAAATAAGCAATGTCAGGATGTCATGTGACGAGCGTTGTCCAATCAGTAAGCAAAAGTAATTTGTTGATGTTTGCTGAAAGCATTATTTTTTTATATCAGTTTCTTAATGTGTTTTTGAAATGTTACATGATAATTTTCTCACTTCGTGTTATATAAATTAATCACAAATGTTAAATCATTCAAACAAATGTCTTTATACTTATCTGTTTACTACTATATTAATATGTCATCAGTAAATATTTACAACCTAAATTGCTTGAAATACAAGAATGTTAACTTTTCAAATCACATAGTCCATTAATAATATTTTGGTTGAATGATAAAAAGTATATATATATATATATATATATATATATATATATATATATATATATATATATATAGTCCTATTGTTTGTATTATATACCATTAAGATTTGTACATTCGGTTATTGACTTTGGCTCCCTGGTGGAGGCGAACATTGGCGAAAGCATACATAAAGGGGCGAGCACCTCTTTCTCTTCGTCCTAACCGTCTACCTTGCTATTATAGATTATTTGTGTTTTTATGCATACGTTTTACAAAAAGAGGTTTAACGGTGTACTTGTGCAGATATTTCTTCTTGAATAATTATTGTTACTTCATTAATGACTGATGAATTAGTGCATGTAAGGGTCCCGGTTCCAGTATTTATTTTTAGAAGGTCTACATATATATATATATATATATATAGTACTGTGGATTCATCAGCTACAAGATTTTTAACACCGAAAGTTATAGACATACCTGTATCTATGCTTCCACGGTGTCACGGCTTTTGTACAGTAGTTACAAATTAACAAATATAACTCAATACCATATATTCTTCTTTTACTGTGATCTCAAATAAAAATTGGTTACTTTATTTTACCTGTGTGTTTATACACGTTCATTGATTTCGGCTGCTTGTTTGTTGAGCTATATTTTTATGGAGGGGTGAGTACTGTATCGTTTAAGTATACCGCTCAATGGAAAAAGGGCCTTACAGTATGAGGGTATACGTAGGGGCTTGTCATATCTACCAAATCAAACAGGGAAATGTATTTCAGAACACAATCCAATACACGCACTTTTTAAGAAACGTTTAGTATGCATAATATACAATTGTAAGCTTACTTACGGTCCGACTTCATAGCTGGGCCCGGTAAACTTACAGAAATTCCAATGGGCGTGATGGTGCCATGTGTTTTCTTAATTGACTAAAGGGGGGGGGGGGTCTCATCATTGCTTGCGAGATCAGACATAAATCAACAAGCTTCTGAGGTTATTTTCTGACTTCATTGCTGAGCCTGGTGAACTCATCGAAATTCTGATCAGGGGCGGACGTAGGCGGTCTTCTGGGTCTTCTGGAAGACGGTCAGAAGTTTTCAAGTTATATTGATGGGCATTTAATTTTTACTGTCGGAAGACAGTCAAAAATGGATGATTGATCGACTAAGATAATTTGGAAGATTGTCAGCAAATATCTCTGGATCCGCCCTTGCGAATGGACGTGATGGCGTTGTCATATGTTTTCCTAATTGGGCATTGGGCGGGGTGGGGAAGGTCTCATCAGTGTGTAAATTACGCCAAAATTCTCATAAATTTTCCAGCTTTTGGGGTTTTGAGACGGCTTTTAATCTCGTTTGTACCCGTTTCAAGTCCGCCTTTAAGGAGCACTTCCAACTGTCCCTATCCTCGGTGAATTCCTAAGTACGCCACAGCTCTCTACTACGCTAGTTTTGCTTAAGTTCACGTAACGCCTACTACGATTTCTTCTCAAATTTCCCGTCTTTTTACTGCTTGTTTAAAATGCGCTCTGCATAACCAATCACACACAAACGCTATTGCCTTTCTCAATTATTTGTCTATGCGACACAATCCAATACATTCATTTTTTCTTGACTATATATAATACTTATATCTTATATCTTATATACTTATATCTTATATACTTATATACTTATATCTTATTCTTTGAAAACCCTACTTCTACCACCACACATTAGTGTTCTTTTTCTGGGCCCATCCCTTAACGCGATGAATAAGCGATGTTCCCCAGTGACACTGAAAAAGGGTGAATTGCGAAATACACAGAGGCAATGAAACAGAATATATATTGGTGTTACTTCCTCGTTGTCCATAAAAGTCGTAACATATGAAAACCTGGATGTCTGTTTTCGACTTACAATCATAACATTTGCGAAGGTAGTAGTAAACGAGCACTTCAATGGAGAGGAAAATATCTATCTTGTTCTTCTTCCTGCAACTTCTCATTTGTTATTCATCAACCACAGACACTGGAATATGTCATAGTGCATACAAAAGAAGCGGGAATGTGGTGAGTACAAAAAAAAAAAAAAAAAAAAAAAAAAAAGAAAGAAACGTTTGCTTTTGCTCTTAAGTGTTTGCTTTTGATGCTCAAATGGTTCTTTATATACAACACTAAGAAAGCATTCAGAACAGAAATAAGCAATGTCAGGATGTCATGTGACGATCTTTGTCCAATCAGTTAGCAAAAGTAATTTGTTGTTGTTTGCTGAAAGCATTATTTTTTTATATCAGTTTCTTAATGTGTTTTTGAAATGTTACATGATAATTTTCTCATAGCTGATGACTTTAGTTCTGATGAATACATGTATAGCTTTCAAATTGCTATTTCAGAACAGTGGTGTGCCTGCATTTGAGATACAAGCTTGTGTTTTTCATCATTGCACAACTACTACTTTCCTATCCACAGCAAACGGCTCATGTATGGTTAATTTTTTCCCATTGATTTAAATTGAACGAGTTGACATACATGGTTGTTGTACCCTGTAGCAGCGACAAACACTTTATCATTGACTGCACGATGAATAAGAGCTATCTTGAATTAAATCTTTCAGAGTTGTAAAATCTTTTGTGGTCAGATAACAGACCTGCATGTAGTCATTGTATTAAGCATAAAGTATATTTTCGAGCGCTGTATTACCTATTCCTGTTTTGCTTAACTTTCCTTACAGGCACAGTGAATGGATATTTTTCTATTGAATCAAGCGACATACCGTTCAAAGTTTGTGTGGAAGGATATTACCTGGACACACTGAAATGCAACCCAGTTGAAAACATGACAACTTCCAATGTTACAATGGAAATCATGAAGTGCGAAAACATTTCTGCACCATCCGTTGCGCTTGAAAATATTCTTCCGGAAAATTGGGTAGCAGATAATCGCACGATCGTGGTTAAAGTTGCAGTTGCACAACTTGTCCTGGCATCGGGTGTCAACAAGCTCAAGTGTGATGTTCCTCTTGAAAATGATACACTAATCATACAAGTAACGGTCACACCAAAAGGTGGGTATTGTTTGGACTCACTGGCCAACCGAGGTAGCCTAAAATGAGGCTGATGGCAATGCATGACGTCATTCAAGAGTATGCAAAGTGCGAGATATTACGTGAAGTAAGACTGATTAATAGAAATTTGGACTATCTGTCATGATTTTAATTTGGCCCTACCCTCAACCAAGTCTCGCATGATTTTATTATAATTTGCAAAACCTAGGGCTATCGCAGATGTCGCCTTTTGGGTTAATTCGTTATTATTTTTTCTTGGTGTAATGGTTTTTGTGACTAATTTGATTTTAAAAACGAGATTCATGTGAGATTCTGCTATAATGTAATTGAAAAAGGACTTACATACATACAATTAACTGTATCTGCGACGTTATATGGTATCGTAATGACTGTAAATTGGCAATATTCTGAGGAATCGGGAAACAAAGCTGAACAAAGAGGACCTCTGCCATATACACATACTAGTAGCCTCGCACCCTATTATTAAATCGGTCTTTCAATATATATTCGTCTATGTAATAGTTTTTGAGCTATAAACGTAAATAAATAAATAAATAAATAAATAAATAAATAAATGTGTAAATAAAAGGTGCAACCTCACGAGACTACGAGGGTATTTTGTCTCCTTTTTCGGCTGTTGTTCTAATTTGGTTTGAACGTTTTAGAATAAGAAACACATAGATATTAATTTAGCCTAAGAACCGTTTTCCATGTCTACAAACAACTAAAAATTGAGAATTAGCACGGGGAAAAAACTGCGAATAACAGTCATCACGATTAAATAATTTTCAGCGCACCTTTCAAGGCGTTTATCTTATCTTTGAATTATATTAATTTATCTATTTGTCAACCTTGCAGGGTGTCCGCTTGGTACCTATGGTCTTGACTGCAGCAATACATGTTCTTGTGAAAATAATGGCGCCTGTCACACTCTGTATGGAACATGTGTTTGTCCTGATGGGTTCGAAGGAGAAAGATGCGAGGAGGAGAGGAAAGCGCCGAAAACCGGTATTCCACATCATATCATATCTATTGTGTATACATGTATATGAAACTCCTCTATCCAAGCTCATATACTTTGGGTTCCTCTACTTTTCATTTATTTCCTCGTCCTTTATAGGCTGTACATAACATTTGCTGTACATGTACAAGACCAACAATACAAATAAATGGTACAGCGGTTTTATACTCATTAATCACATTATAAGTAGACCAGGCATTATAACTACCCAAGATCTGCCTACTTTGATTACTCTGATTTAGGGGGTGACACTTCTATTGTCCAGTGTGTGTATAACGGTAGGTCTTTGTAATTGTCACCAAAGTCGCTAATATTTCGCTGAGATATAGATTTCAAAAACATACCACGGTTCCATTAAGGGGCTCAATGCAAACCAGTTCGCTTTAGTTTCAATACAGATTTACTTTGGACTTTTTTTTTCATTTTTCTAGTAAAGAGCACTGATATGATAATGGGGCCGTCAATAGGTGGTGCCGCCTTTCTGTTCAGCGCATTGGTGGTGACCATACTAGTATTTGTCTGGAGAAGAATGAACCTAAACTCAAGGGCAAATCTGCATGGGCAAACTTATGACACATCCCATGAATTACATACAGACCACATTGAAGAAGAAGAAGAAGACTATGAATCACTCACAATCGTAGACAGAGCTAACACACACCCTTACAAACAGGTTCAAAGACCGTTACCCTCAATACCAAACCAAAACGGCTTAAATCTTACTCTGAGTGATGATGATTTAGTTTTAATAAAGGAGGACTATCTCAACACCTTGCCCAAGCACCAACAGAACAAATCCAATTATCCTAGTGGTGCAAGTCAACCTGCAAACATGATTCCGTCTTGTGAGGATCCCCCTACCGGAAGTGAGGATGATGTTAAAATAACCAACATCGGTTCAACAAATTCCTATATTCCTGAGAGTGCGGAGCCTGAAGACAGTTCCAGTGCGTTTGCAAAACAACAAAGAAAATCCACTTCTGTTATCTACTGTAACACAGCATTTTTGAAGCATTTAGACGAAGACGTCACATTAGGGCATGTTGAAGGACGCAAAGGATTGTTGGAATCTCCTCGACCAAAGCGAAGGGATCCAAAAACATCTGCGGTAGCTGACATAAATTCTTATCTTTCCCTGTGCGAAGTGCTAGTGTCTCCATTTGAAAATATTTTACTTTCCACAACTGAAAACTTACAGGAAGTCTCCCCGCGTACGGGTGGTACCCGTAAAAGATATTCTTTTAACAGAAATCATGATAAGCGAGCATCCAAGCCTGCAAATTATATTAAGCGACGTTTCTCCTTTCCACCTGATTGTGGTTTAATCCAGAACGACGACGGGCGTAACAACGCTGAATCTTTATTTTACCAAAACCAGTGTAAACCTAATGATGACTTTCTTAAAGAGGACAATGGTTTACATGTATATTACAACATGATCGAAACCGAAAATGAATGTCGCCCTAATGATGAAGAGTACTGGTACGTTGACAGTGGGATTCCTCGTCTCAAAAGGGAGCCTACGTATTCATATATTAACGCTGGTCCAAATATCATGAAAACTTTAGATTCCGAAGGCGAAGTTGAATATTCATATGCAAAATCAAGGTTATGGCCTGAGAAATCGCCGCATCTTGATGGAGTCTAGAATGATTCTGCACGTACCAGTGCCAGTATCTATCATTCATATAAAGGGACCAAGAAAGAAATATCCTGATTTTGACATAGTATCTTGTCGTATCTTTAATTAAAAACTGCTGCTGGGAGTAATGAAGATGATTAAAATGTGTGCTTAGAAACTATCAGCGAACTTCCACATGCCTTTATATATATGTGTGTGTGTGTGTGTGTGCGTGTGTGTGTGTGTGTGTGTTTAAATGAAAGAGAACCACATTTTATCGAAAAATGCCAGATTAATGTATATCCTTATACAAATTCAGATCTCGTAATGATAATATGTAATTACATTGTTTATACCAACAAAAAACAGTTGCAATATTGTGATCTACGTTGGATATGTAATCAGAATACCGCAACTTTAAAGATGGATTAGAAATGGCGGAATTATTTTTTCTATTTAAGGTTCTATGTAGTATTTTTGATGATGTTTACTCAATTTGTAATATTGTCAACAGGATTTAAGTTTAAATAATAATTATCTGATGTCGTTATCCTTAAAATAGATATTGCTTCGTTTGTCAATAGCCGGTTTCACATTTGCTGTATATAGCTCTCTTCAAACTCTTCTACTTTTATATTTGTAAGGTCTTAATCTTTAAAATCCCCAAAACTTACTCCAAAGAGGCCACACCAGCTTGTTTGTTACTTTACCTGTAGACTAGTTAAATAACTGAACACGGGTAGTAGACATATGATCTGTAACTAATGCCAATTACGAAGATCCCACGCTAGAAATCTCGGCTTTGTGATTATTGAACAAGTTGTAAAGGTAAAAAATATATCAGAAATTTGATAACAGTTTTAAATCCTACTTAAAGGCAATGCCTGGCTGGAATTGAATAAGAGCCCACGCCTAAAATAGCCTAGGAAAACTACTTCCTTGGCACAAAAACATTTTCTTGTCATTCTTTGTCATCTCTAACGCACGTTTATATACATGTATATTCCACCAATTAAAACACAGCGCAAATATAATAGTATGAATACTTACTTGGATAGAATAGGTACATGTACGTCCTCCAAACTTCACCTCCTTGGTTTATTATTATTATTATTATTATTATTATTATTATGTGGTAATTAGACAGTAACGCTAACTAGAATTTTTCTTCCATGAAGTTGAAATACTACGGTTTTAATATTAGGTTTGTGATAAATAACCAAAATGAATTCTGGGTACCGATTGTCTGATCATTGAAGAAAAAAAAAAAAGAAGTTCAGCACTCCCTTGATCTTAAACTGTCTAATAACTCAATCATTCAGTCAAAGTACACACTTAACGAATAATCAGTAGATTAAAATATTTTATTTAATAAATTTTAAAAAAACAAAAGGTATTGTCTTGTCTTGGCTGCCAGTTGTAAAGAGCTCTAACACCATACAAAGGCATGATGAACTTTTTTCTTTTTTTTTCTGATTTTGCAAAATTAGTTCATTTTTAACAGCGTATTAGTAGGAGTCTATATGTAGTTCCCATTCCGATTTGGCCTCGTTTTCATTTGTCTCATGTAACGTTGAATTCGACCACAGTTCGTTGATAACCTTTCTAAGGCGATCAGCTGGTGAGTCTAAAGCCACGTTATCTTGTCTTGTCTCGACGCCATCTATTGGTGATATTTTACACAAAGAACCATTTAAGGATCCCACAATCCTTCGTAACCGCATGGAAGGTGACGCAACTGGGAGGGGACTACAACGGAAACAACAGATGCCATTTAATGTTTACGAATGTAGTATGTAATTCGGTGACCCGTTTCACAAAGAAACTTTTGCCCGAAAATTGGTCCAAAATTTTATACCAAAGTTTTAGCCAACTAAGTACTTTGACTTTAGATAAACCAGTTGTGGAAAAATTTAATGAAAGTTTCAAAAAGTTTTCTTGTAACAGGAATGTATACCATAGTTAATGCCTTATTTAGGTGAAAAAAACGTCTTTCTTGATGACATTTTCCCCATTCCATTTTTTTCCAATTTGATTTTGATTTTGACACATTATTTCTAGATTATCTCGTCACCAATGTCCTCGTATGAAATCTTAACTTTAAATCTTAACGTTAACTTTACCAGTTCATTTCTTTAAAATTTTTATTCGGAAAAAACATTGTACACAGTAAGCATAATAAAAAATAGTAAGTTAGAGCTGAAAATAGTAAATTAGTGCTAAATCAGACAGATACATCAGTCCAAACTACTACTACTGCTTCTACTACTACTACTGCTCTTTCTAAAACTACTACAAAAGATAGTAACAAAAGATCATCCTTATCATTATCGAATAGTCATGCATGTATTTTGAAGAAACTCCCATACAGGTACTGTAGTTACAAACTGGACAGTGAAGATGGCAAATATGCAGACACTTAACACAAAGTCGGAGTAAAACATAACTAGTTTTCGAAGTTGACACCTTAACAGACATAAAACAATTGAAAGAAATGGATAACGTTTTGATGAGTCTTGATAAGGTTTAAAAACGATTTGGTACGTATATGTATGGAGCGAACTCCACAAAAATACACTAAAAAGAGATATAATAATTCCTTATCTTTCCTTAAATAGGAGCCTGCATTTTTACAAAGCAGTGTCACTAAGGAAGCTTGCAATTATTTAAAAATACGTTTAGCACTGATGGAGCGAACGTCAACAAATTACAAAAAAAAAAAAAAAAAAAAAAAATTCAATAGCTTTCATACAAGTAATCCAGTCAAAACAGGGACGGATCCAGAATTATTTGAAGTCGGGGTGGGGGAGGGGGGGGGGGGTCCGAGGACGCAAGGTCCCCAAGCACAGCCACGGTAGAATATAAAAAGACACATTCAACGTCTATATAATATAATAATATAACTACTTAATATCTTCTTCCTCGTCGATATCTGTTGGGAGGGAATCCTCACTGGAACTCGATCTATAGATTTGATGCCTCCTTCTCATCAGTTCTTCCTGGCCCACTGGGCCTACTCTTTCATGGCAGGGAGAATATCTGTGTCTGCAAGTAGATAAGCAAATATACTGTTGGTTTGATGTTTTTGTTTGTTACTGGGAAAATCTAGTAAATACATATATTGCTATTATAATCACAGACAGCAATTCAGCGCATTTCCATTAATAAAAAGAATTCTTTGAGGAAGGGGGGGGGGGTAAAAAACTATTTAAGACATTTAGACTGTGATAAGGATATTCTCATTTTTAGAGGATATACCGACGAAAGTTAATTAAATTTCCTCCTCACTGGATCTTAAAAATATCTTGTTCTCATTTACATTTCAGATGAAAAATGAAAACATGTACATGTATTTTCGACTTCAAAATATGCTCTCACCGTCTCAACTACGACTCTTTCAACAAAATAACGAAAAAAGGCTAAAATATAAAGAATAATATTCCCCACTTGTGTATCTTTTGTAACGACTGGGGCCGTGAACTGTACTTGAAACGAATGGCCCCTTACTTAGTGAATCTCATTACAGATATATTCCAATAATATGATAGTAGAAGGGACAAAGGATTTCGTTGTCGAAACGGAAAAAAGCATACTTTTTTAAAAAGATGATGATCCCTATGATTGCAATCACCACAATTATTGGAACAGTCAATGCCACGACCATAGCGGGATCACTGGGCTGGACTGGAATTTCTGTTGACGTCAATACTGCAGAGATTAGAGAGGCGTTTGAGCAATAGCACGGACTAGCGTCTAAGATAGTAATGTTGGCAATTTGCCTTTGCGATTCTGAATGTTTAGCTGTAAAAATGCTCAGCAGCAGAGTCCCATTCATGACCGAATCACTTTGGGGGTAAGTGACGTAAAACGCAAGCGTGACGTTGCTGCCGTTTAGTTGCTGAAACTGGGTAAGAATGTGCACGTCACTTTGAGAGAACGAAGATGTCAAAGCCCTCCTGAAAAGATAAAAAGTCAAAATGATAAAGATTAAAAAAAAATATAAATAATAAAAGTGAAATGGGTTATGCCCCTTCCTTAAACTGTTTTTGTACGATTTACTTTTTTTTCATCAGTACGCAAGAAGCAATGGAAATTTATTTTCCGAAAAATCAAAATGTTTGTTACAAGAAGTATTTTCCTCCTTTCGCGAGAACTGAAATACTACCGACAAAAGAAATTGTAACAAATATTTCCATTGATATTCGGGGATTGCATTGCTCACTTATGAATACAGCAAAACGAGCAGGGTAAAAATAACACAAACCTTGATCGTAACCTAAATCTCTCGCAGTCGTGATTCCTGCAATATGACACGCACATAGCACCTGCGTACATTTTGAACAAAACAATTTTGCCAGATGGGTCCTGAAATATATGAAATATTCAGTATTATGGGACTTTTCCTCTCTACTTGCCCCCATAAATGAATACATTTACAAATAATAATATATGAAATTTGACATGTACATTGTACGTTAATTGCAATTTTGATTAACGTCTTGTTTTGACGCACAAAGTAGCTATAAGTTTCAAATTCAAGAAATGGAGAGAGACAGAGAGAGACTACAATGTAAATGCTACCTGGTTAGATGTTTCGATTTTGAAGTGGACCACAATGGCGTTCATCCGCCCAATAAGATGGATATTTGGATCTGGGGTCGTCTGCACACCACTGGAATTGCATGCAGTTGTACCTGGCATAAATACACACGTAATACTGGCCGCTGAGGTCCTGCCGGGGGAGTTTGTACTCGTCACAGCGTTACTACTTTTCCCAGTGGAAGGAGAAATTACGGAAGTGGCACTGTCTTCAGCAAGGGTGGATTGATAATGGGTACTTCTGCTGGATGAAACAGCAGAAAGACTGGACGTCAACATTTCACGCGTCGTGGTCATATCTGTAGTGGAAGTAATGGCGTTCTCGTCTGAAATAGAATTAAATGCATCCCAAAACAAAGGTTTAAATACTTCAATTGAAATGTTCAATCATCGTTCAGGCAAGCTTTAAGTCTTCTGTCACAAAGGACTCGACCCAGTTTTTATTGTGTGTCAAGTACCAGGCGCCATTTTAGGTTTAAAATTTTGGACAAAAATGATTAATTATTGTTTTTTTTAATAAAAGTGTTTTAAAATATATGTGTTTAATAATAATTGTGTTTAATGATATATACGAAACTGAGTTATGTCATCAACAAACGTTACGTGTTCCTAGTAACTCAGATGTTAATTAAACTGAAAAAAATTCCTTCAAAGATACAACTATTAAAAGCAATGGAGTCGTCCTACCGATACACTCTCTAAAGTTAATTGCCCCAGTATGGGAGGTTGACGTTCCTGATGGACAATTGTGACAGATTGTTTGACCGCGACTGTCTTGGTACGACCCACGAGAACATACGTCACATCGCGCTGAGGTCACATTAAAGTAGTGGCCTCGGTCACAGGGTTCTAAAGGATGGTGCATAAAAAAGAAGACTGAGTCACTTTTCAAATTGTATAATCTTGGCTATAATGATTTTGATTGATATCATAGGAAATTCTCTATCTGAAATGTTTTAATTTACATACTAGACTGAAGTATTACCAACCAGGACCTTTTTCAAAGTTTGTAAAATGTATTTTTTGCTAAATAATAAACAAAATGAATCTAGATCTACATATCATCCCAATAAATTTTTCATGGAAATATCCTAGTGTGAGTATTAAAACTTTTGCTGAATGCCCAGTTTATGTCTATGAAGTAAACTTACCACATGACCATCCTGCTGTATTCAGTACTGTTCCGGCGGGGCACTCTGGTTCAGTTATGTTGTAATGAACAAGGATTTCCCCCTCTGCTGGTATACTTAGGCCGTCGACTTTGCCTATCAAAGTCAGTATTCTGTCTTGAAACGACTCTGTCAGATTTGTACGGATCCTTGTCAATGTTAGGGTCGCTGCCATTCTCGCCGCCGTCTCGTTCGATGAAGAGTTGGCGCCGAGTTGAGTTAAAATATAAAAATGTATCTTAAGTTTAAAATTTGTGCAGTCAACTGACTTCACCTCGTAGCCACACCCCTCAGTATCAAGGCAGTGAAAATTATAAGTGTCCATTAATTGTACAAATTGGTCCTTGATGTATTTAAAGGCGGTGGAATTGTCTTCTTCGGGGCAGTTTTGTATCACGTACTGGAGCAGCATGGCCATCTTCATCGTAGCCTCGGAGTCTAGAATCACCAAATAAACAAGCTACCATGAATAAACAAGTCGAGCATATTTCTTGAAATTTGCTTGACCTTTGTAGGATTAAATAAAGATTTTATGGATTCCATTTCTTTCTTTTTTATTCATTTGTTTGGAGGGGGGTCAAGCTGTATACATATATACATTGGACAGGCAATTTATATCAGTGCCTTTACACATGGTCAAAGAAAGTAACAAATTCTTTTCTGTATTTTATCTTTCCTTTTTTAAAGGAATAACGACTGTTCATTTTGGCCAAAGCTACTTTTTTTCGAAAATTTCGAAAATTCAAAGAATGATGATCAATAACTATGTTTATATTGTAAATGACGCCTTGTCAACACATCGTATTTCTTTTTCGTACCAAATCCCCCTGGGGGCGACGATTTGCCCATTACAAACACGGTAAGCTTAACCTTTGAACTAACGACAGAGCCCCCTCTGCAGAAGTATACCTTTATTTTCCTGGGCCAGGTATGTTACTAGAAAACAATAAAAGATCTCAAATCTGCTAAAATCTGCTAAAGGGCATCCTCGAGCTAACTGCCGATATTAAGAGTAGAACTTACAGTAGCACCCATCAACGTCTGTGGTTCCTTCGGTAAAAGTGGACTTCCACGGTGGACACTGGACGCACTGCAACTGGCCTTTTTCCGGCTGATACTGACCAATGGCACAGGGTTGGCACCTTGAATTGGTCAGATTATGGAAACTACCTTCTGGACAGAAATCTGAAAGTAGGAGTTTAGTGTAAGAATAAAAACAGTCGGCAGACTCGCGTTGTTTTATTTGTAAATAAACCAACACAACTCAACAGGCGTTTCCTAATATGTCTTTGAAATAAGAAAATAGTAGGCCCTTGAACGCATGAGCGACGTATTTCCTTTTATTAAATTATTAAGATAATGGCTATTAATTTATAATATTTTTTTCTACAAAAACGACGCTGACAAAATTATGGCATTTGTTCACTGTAAAAATTGGAGAGGATTGGAGATAAACAGATATGTAATTTAACTCTGATGACGTCACATAAAGTACTAACCGCATGAGACTGAGGTCACGTTGATGACTGATCCATTCGGACAGGTTGAATTTGTCGGACTTAAGACGGAGAAATCTGCCAGCGACAGTGGGGATGCATGTACACCATATGTGAGATTTAACACACCATCTTGGAATGCAACTGACAAATTTTGCTTTGTGGACTCGAGAGTTGAATTAGCTGCAGTGACAGCGTCACTGTAATTTCCTTCGATGAGTTGCACATTTAGAGTAAAGTGTACACCAATATGATAACTGCAACTAGTTCTCCGTCTTCTTAATATTTTAGGTAGGTTTCCAGATGCCCATTTAGGAAACAAATAATGCCCAATGTTGATACCTTTGTGGGAAGTCTCTCCATTTTCTCTGTAATGTAGGGTTGAAGGCCAGTATTTCTTTCCTATCAAATCTCTCCGTCTTTGTTTCGCATCCTTTATTATAATTTTAGTACTTCTTTTTCTTTGCCCATCTCCATTTTGCCCTCCATTACAAGCTGCATTGACAAACGTGTAGCTGCAGTTATGTTGGGTACAATTTGCGACCGTGTCCCACTTAGCCCCGTTCATCATTGTATTGAACGAATGTTCCAGATCATCTGATGACTCCGGACAAGAGTTACTACAGTAAGTAGCTGTAACAGCCATTCTCATGATTGGGCGTTCAGCGAGCACCTCTATGTAATGATAAAAAAAGAGAAGTAAATCTATGAAAAAAATGGAATAGCAGGAGACTGTGTGAAGCCTCAATCTCTGTCTATATGCCTATCTAAATTAGATTAGTAATCTATTGCTCAAAACAAAAACATTTAGCTTGCCTTCACAATTTGATTACAATAAGAGAGAGAGAGAGAGAGATCCACCTGTTCAAAATGGCGTCTCTCGAAACTCTGCACTTTTTACTTTCATTGCTTTTAACCCCTATGTTTTCTCCGTGCCAAAAATGTTAACTAAACCATGTCCTACTTACCTCTACATATAAATATCAGCCACGTCAAGAGAAATCTATACTGAATATTCTTTAAAATCGTCATATTTTGATAAAAAAATAACCGTCTGTTTAGCTGTAGCTCAACTGTGTTGTCGTCATGTCTCAATATAAATCGTATGAGGTCAACTTCCTTGTAGATGGAGACAATGCGACCGCTATTATTTTTTCGCGTCAAAGGGTGTAGATTACGCTTTAGAAATGCGCCACTAGAGGTATTTTTTCATACGTCATAAGCAAAGATTTTTTCCTCCTTATTTGTCAGCAAACTTTATTGTACATAGAAGAAAAGTGGTTACTAACACTATATTGACCAAGGCAGTTGAATATAAGCTTAATTCGAACACAATAGGCTATGCTTGCAGAAAGATCGAGAGGGCGGTAAAATAGGTGATACTTTTATGCCACCTGGTGCTGTTTACATAAAAACATATTTCGATAGTTTCAGAGGCATTTTCCCCTAAAAACCATCACAAGATCCTGGAACGTGCCCACATGACTCGTATTTCTCCGCTTCTACAAACAAATCCTTTATCTTGAAATTGAAAGATACTTCTGGTTTATTTATTGCAACCAGCGATATATAACTTTCTAAAATGTATCGCTATGAAAAGAAGGATTTACCTTTTACTAAATTTTCCCACTATTTGAAAACGTATACAAAATCGTGTATCGACTTGTATAGTAAAAAAAAAGCTACAGTTTGAGTATACGGGCTTTGTATGTGATTAACATAAATTTCGACTATCCTAAATGTTTTATCTTTCAAACATGAAAATAGAATCAGTTGTAAAGATTTCTAAATAGATGTCTTCAGAAAAGAGAAGAGACACTCCAGGAAAACGAATCTTTAAGCGAATCTATCATACTTATTTAAGTTCAAAGTTAACTTCATGTTTCATATCATCTCGTCATAATCTCTCAATTCGAAGTTTTTTTACATACTCATTTGGTTTGATCTTTTTAAAGATTTTAAAGGCTTTTAAAGATGTTTTAACACAAATAAAACTAATATACTGCACATACACGTTTTTTATTTTGACACACAAAAAAGAAAATTTCATACATTTTGTGATCAATATAATCGACTTTTATCATTTGATAATCTTTCCCCGGATCAATTTCAAATTCTTCATTCAATACGAGCTCACGAAAAATATACTCGCTTTCACTGTAAAGTATGTATTTACGGTAAAATTCCAGTCTAACATTTCCAATCACAGACATATCCCTGTACAGCCGTGCAAACTTCAACATCGCAAAATATATGCTTAAAAATCTTGATTATAGGCAATAAATAACTAACTAAATAAATAATAATAAAAAAATGGGCATCGATAGCATATCATTAACATTAAGTAATGCATTGGTGGCATGACACTGTTTGTATTGACTTGAGCGAGCCACCCACCATATTGTCTAATGTCAGGCATTTCACGGATCTTCACTCCTCGAAATAACAAAAAGTTGATTAAAAGTCAATATAATAATAATAATAATAATAATAATAATAATAATAATAATAATAATAATATCTTTTGGCACTCTTTAAGCATAAAATATCAAAAAGAATACTTTTCGTAATACTGGTATACAAGTTGGTTGTCGGCAAATAAGACAACCTAAATATCAATGCACGTCTGTGAATGGGCACATTAGGGAATGCTCTATGAACAAAAACAAGGACTTTACGGTATTCCCATTTTATAAATTCACTAGGGAAACAACCCAAACAGAAAAGGAAATTAGGGAAAATCTATTTATCAATAAGTATAAACCTACGTTAAACAGGTAACAGCATTGGTAAAAGCGACAATCAAACACCCATTTTCAGAGACATCACATTGAGCCTTTATCACATCATATAGTAACCAAAATAAACAAACCCCCTGAAGATGCAATGAAACCGGGTCGGGGCAAAATAGCTGCTATTCTTTTTTCATTTTATTATATATAGCCCCTATATAAAAAGTTCAGCACTCCCTTGATGTTAAACGGTCTAATAATTCAATGATTCAGCCAAAGTATACATTTAATAATCTGTAGATTAAAATCTTTTATTTAATAATTTTCAAAAAACAAAAGGCATTGTCTTGTCTTGGCTGCTCATTGTCAAGAGCTCTAACACCATACAAAGGCATTATGAACTTTTTTCTTTTTTACTGATTTTGCAAAATTAGTTTATTTTCATCAGCGTATTAGAAGGAGTCTATATGTAGTTCCCATTCCGATTTGGCCTCGTTTTCATTTGTCTCGTGTAACGTTGAATTCGACCACAGTTCGTTGATAACCCTTCTAAGGCGATCAGCTGGTGAGTGTAAAGCCACGTTATCTTGTCTTGTCTCGACGCCATCTATTGGTGATATTTTACACAAAGAACCATTTAAGGATCCCACAATCCTTCGTAACCGCATGGAAGGTGACGCCACTGGGCAGGGACTACAACGGAAACAACAGATGCCATATGATGTTTACGAATGTAGTATACAATTCAGTGATCCGTTTCACAAAGAAACTTTTGCCCGAAAATTGGTCCAAAATTTTATATCAAAGTTTTAGCCAACTAAGTACTTTGACTCAAGATAAACCAGTTGTGGAAAATTTTAATGAAAGTTTCAAGTTTTCTTGTAACAAGAAATGTATTCCAAAGTTAATACCTTATTTGGGTTTCTTTTGTAGGAATCAATTTTCGGGATTCACATTATTTGTGAAACCGGCCCCGAGACATGGAGATTGATAAGGAAGAAACATAGATGTAGACGTGGTTTCTCACATAAAATATTACGCTTGTAACGGAATACTTATACGTGCTGTAAGAATGAATCGAAACCACGTTTACCTTTGATTTCGAAATAGAAGCCTGCATTTTTACAAAGCAGTGCCACTTAGGAAGCTTGCAATTATCCAAAAATACGTTTAGCACTGATGGAGCGAACGTCAACAAATTACAAGAAAAAAAAATAATAGCTTTCGTACAAATAACCCAGTCATAACAGTCGGATACAGGATTATTTGAAGTTTGTGTGTGTAGGGGGGGGGGGGGGGCGGTCCGAGGAAGCAAAGCTCCCAAGGACAGACACGGTAGAATATATACAGACACATTCAACGTCTACATAATATAACAATATAACTACTTAATATCTCCTTCCTCATCGATATCTGTTGGGAGGGAGCCCTCACTGGAGCTCAATCTATAGATTTGATGCCTCCTTCTCATCAGTTGTTCCTGGTCCACAGGGGCTACTCTTTCATGGCAGGGAGAATATCTGTGTCTGCAAGTAGATAAGCAAAAATACTGTTGGTTCGATGTTTTTGTTTGTTACTGGGTAAATCTAGTAAATACATATATTGCTATTATAATCATAGGCAGCAGTTCAGCGCGTTTCCATTAATAAAAAGAATTCTTTGGGGGGGGGGGGGTTAAAAACTATTTAAGACATTTAGACTGTGATAAGGATATTCTCATTTTTAGAGGATATACCGACAAAAGTTAATTAAATTTCCTCCTCATTGGATCTTATAAATATCTTGTTCTCATTTACATTTTAAATGAAAAATGAAAGAGAGGGTATTAGAAAGGGAAACTACATGTATTTTCGACTGCAAA